ATCCTAAATGATATTTTCTGTCCATAATTTTGAAATTCAGTCCTGAAAATTCAGTAATCTAGTTTTTCGATTTGTCTGTGTTTCTTGACCTTTGACCTTAAAATTTCTCTGCCCCCAACTTTAACCTCCGACTTTAAAATTGTAATTGGCTATTCTTCATTTAAGTACTTACATCATTCTAATACTTGGTAACTCACAAGTACACTATGTAGGATAAAAACTGGGGTAGATGCCTTTACACTTGGTTACGATTCTAGGGGACTGTGGAAGTAGGGTCGAAAGGGTCAGACTAAGGAGGACTGAGGAAAAGGGTCCGACTCTAGGGGACGAAGGAGTAGGGTCTAAAGGGTCTGACTATTGGGGACTGAGGAATAGGGTTAAAAGGGTCCCACTCTCCAGTGGACAAAGGAGTAGGGTCTAAAGGGTCTAAAGGGTCTAAAGGGTCTGACTACTGGGGACAGCCAAATAGGATCTAAAGGGTCCGACTATTGGGGACTGAGGAATAGGGTTAAAAGGGTCCCACTCTCCAGTGGAAAAAAAGGAGTAGGGTCTAAAGGGTCTGACTACTGGGGACTGTCAAATAGGGTCTAAAGGGTCCGACTATTGGGGACTGAGGAATAGGGTTAAAAGGGTCCCACTCTCCAGTGGACAAAGGAGTAGGGTCTAAAGGGTCTGACTACTGGGGACTGCCAAATAGGATCTAAAGGGTTGGACTAAAGGGAACCGAGGAATAGGGTCTAAAGGGTCTGATTCTAGGGGACAAAGCAGTATGTGTATGCATATATAATGTGGTAGGATTAGCATACAGGGCGTCTAAGCTAACGTCACAACGCGCCGTGCACGTGATTTTCAAGTCTCTGAACACGAATCGCGCTTTGTGGCATTCATGATATACGTGTCAAAGAAGAAAATATAGAGTTGTATACTGTTGTGTATAAATATACATATTTTATCAAGTTTGACGTAGATAAAGGTTACTTCAAAACACCAGCGGTTCAGATAACTTAAACTCGATCTTTGAAACTATGATATTTGGCATGCGACTTTCTTTCGTTTAAGATTGAAATATGTCATTTATAACCCAGAGTGATGTATTAATCTGCTACAATCCGTCGATCTCATGTTAATAATAATTTGTTTGTACTAGTGTATATATAATATAATGTATACTTCAAATAGGCGAATCATGAGTGTTGGCTCAAGGTTTTATTCCTTCACTCAAGCAACCTCGTGCAACACGTAAACGTGTGTAACTAGAGGTCGCAAAAACAGAAGATGTACAGTATTAATAATGAAAGATACACGATCCAATGGTACATTTGTGTAATACTAATTATATAGAACTTTATTCCATCTTCATGTCCTTAAGGAAAATTTTGATTTGGGGTTCTAAATTTTCATAAAGAGGTCCGATCATTTCTAAAAAGTTAAATCAGGTGAGGTTCAAAATTGAACTGATATTGATATATTTAACTTATCAAATCAAAACAACACAATGATATCAGGAACACACTATCATACGTCCCACATGATATCTAACAATATCAAAACAACACAAAAGTATCATGGATGCCCAATCATGCGTCACAGATGATATATCACAATACCAAAATAACAGATAATATCATTGACGCCCGATCATACGTCCCAGATGAGATATCACAATATCAAAATAACACAAATAACATATAATATCATGGACGCCCGATCATTTGTCCCAGATGATATATAACAATACCAAAATAACACATAATATCATTGACGCCCGATCATACGACCCAGATGAGATATCACAATATCAAAATAACACATAATATCGGGGACATCCTATCATACATCACAGATGAGATATCACAATATCAAAATAATACATAGCATGAACACCCGGTGTCATATCATATTTGTATCCCCCATCCTAAAGTATCCGGGAATACTTTTTTTGTCCATAAAAAATATTAGGAGATACATTTATGAAAGTCATTAGAATAGTATGTAGGCGGTATTTTATTCCGAAATATTATGGAGAGGGGCATATAATAATTCTATACTGTGTGTTTTTTTACTTTAAAATGTTCTGCATCTTTTTTGGAAGTCAAATTCAGTAATACCCATACTTTGTGCCACACACGTACCTCCATTTACACTTTATGTAAAAGGCCAAAGACCATATAGTTCCCCTCTAATAAATGATTACTCAGAAATGCAACTGGTCAGAATCCATCATTCTGGAAGCCTTGAATCCTTGACAGTTTACTGATAACAATTACAATGCATACAAGTCTTGACTCAACATTATTTCAGGAACCAGTCTTAGTCTCATTAGAATACAAAACAAGAAGAAAAAAGACCAGTCATTCTATCATTTCATTCATTATGTCACATGTAGCAGAAAGCATCAGGCTTTACAGAATGTGTACAAAAACAAGAGTCCTATGAGGTCTGTAACGCTCTGGATCTGAAAGCCCACCAATGTCATACATGCCTATAGGTTGGATATTTAAAATATTTCCAAATTGAAGCTCTGTCACTTAAGCTCTTTGATGGGGCAAAAGCAATGGATAAATTCTTATATCATTACTGTCTTTATCTCTTGATGTCCGTTATTGCTATATATTGTGAAATATAAACCTCGTTTCCCCCAGATATTTTTCTGACAACCATCATTATATGTATCCCTCATAGATAAATGATAAATCTTCAAATTGAATTTCACAGTTGGCATTCACATTACTCATGTTCATGTATATAATTTTCAAGATACAACTTCTTTATTAATTTACATGTCGGTGTGGCGAGGAAATGAAACTCATAATTATTTTCGTTTTAATGCACCGACGTGAAACCCTACAGAGTCAAAGAAAACAGTCGCACATGCGCATACGAAAAATACACAACATCACTACTGCACCATTGTCAACCTACCCACTTTCTATTTGACAACAGTAAATACGTACACCCGCTTGCGCCGACGCCCAGCAACAGAACGAATAGTTGGAGAGACCGAAAACCAGAAGAGGCGTGACGTAAGTAGGTGTGGAAACGCATTAAGCATGCAATGCAAGTGCATTTGATAAAATGCTGAGCCAGTCATGTTTACAATTGATCCAGAGAAATAGGGAAGAATGGAAAGTGGACAAGAGCATGCATTTGTGATGGCCACAAATGTCAGCATTTCAATCAAATAGTAAGTCGAAGTGCCCCAACCAAAGAAATGCTGGCAAGTGAGAACTTTTGTATACAATTTATGCTTGTTGCAATGTTCGTTATACTGTACTGTGTAACGAAATGTATTATGTAGAACATTGACAACGATGATTAGTGGACTTTTCACATCACGTGACGCTTTACAACAACCAGTTACATCATATAAATGTTCTTTCTAGGGTTGTAATTGTAAGTAAATAAACTTGATGGCCGTAGTCATGACCGGAAGTGAATAGTGGGAACCGCAGTTAGGGACCGGAACCGGTAGTAACCTCGTCCGTCCCCTCTATGAAGGAGCTCAACTTAACTTTGAACACAGCATGAAAATGGAACACTCAAATGTAGTTTCAAATAGATTCGTCTTCGAAAAACAAACACCTGGTTTATAACAGGGAATACGTCACTGTTTCTTTGAACCTAAACTTTTAATTTCACTGAAATTATCAAAGTGATCCCATTGAGAAATATTCTATTTCTTTGTGTGATATTGAGTTGAACGTGTTTGATACTCGTTAGTTGAGTTGAACGTGTTTGATGCTCGTTAGTTGAGTTGATTGTGTTTGATACTCGTTAGTTGAGTTGAATGTGTGTGATGCTCGTTAGTTGAGTTGAATGTGTTTGATACTCGTTAGTTGAGTTGAACGTGTTTGATGCTCGTTAGTTGAGTTGAATGTGTTTGATACTCGTTAGTTGAGTTGAATGTGTTTGATGCTCGTTAGTTGAGTTGAATGTGTTTGATACTCGTTAGTTGAGTTGAACGTGTTTGATACTCGTTAGTTGAGTTGAATGTGTTTGATACTCGTTAGTTGAGTTGAACGTGTTTGATGCTCGTTAGTTGAGTTGAATGTGTTTGATACTCGTTAGTTGAGTTGAATGTGTTTGATGCTCGTTAGTTGAGTTGAATGTGTTTGATACTCGTTAGTTGAGTTGAATGTGTTTGATACTCGTTAGTTGAGTTGAATGTGTTTGATGCTCGTTAGTTGAGTTGAATGTGTTTGATACTCGTTAGTTGAGTTGAATGTGTTTGATGCTCGTTAGTTGAGTTGAATGTGTTTGATACTCGTTAGTTGAGTTGAACGTGTTTGATGCTCGTTAGTTGAGTTGAATGTGTGTGATGCTCGTTAGTTTGACTATTGTTTTCATAGGTTTATACCTTTTACTCATTTGAGAATCCTTCTCAGATTGACCAAGGTATACCTGTCGTCGACGAAACAGTAGGCGCCGATTACTCTTCCGGGTCATCTGGTATTTTTCAGGAGTCTCCATATAAATACTTCTCTTGTTCGTATTTTGTCCTGTTTATCAAATTTGAACTTGGGATTGATCCTTATGTTGACTTGTTGGTATTTTCTTGTTTTTTTTAACAGTCTATGAGATAGATAAAACATTGTTGTATATCACGTATTTTATGACTTCAGACGGCGAAGAGGATTGTCAGTATCCTCAAGCTGACTGTAAATGACAAGTAACGGCCTGTAGAGGTAAGTCATACAACTTCGTCGATTTCGTAAACCAAAGACTTAGGTATATCCAAGTCCGTGGTTTACAAAATTATATAAGTGCCTGTGTCTTTGTGATCTCGCGCGGAATAATTGTTCAAATAACAGAAGTTTTACACAATGGAAATTAGAAAGTGGCTGTTGGCTTGTTTATGGAAGTTAATTGAAGACGAACGTTGACGTCAACTCGGCTGTTATCCTACACCGTGGACTACAGGAATATATAGAAAGGCCACGAGTTCTTCCGGTTAGCAGCCATTCGGAACACTATTCACACTCCAAAATCTCGGTGTGTACGTGTCATTGATAAAGCTGAGATTGCTACAGGTGAGTAAGATAACTCAATACTTGTTAATCCACTTGATGTGGATATATGTAACACAAACAAGGTGTTTCAGTCAGTGTCAACAACCCGTCGTTATTTTTGTAATACAATGTCTTGACATGGGCGTCCAGTCAGCTAGGTTTACTTAAGCAAAAATGATGAACATTTGTCGCCACAATTTAAGAAGATTCGTTGGAATGTATGTGTCTACTAGAGTTTGGCTTTATAGCCTACTGTTAATAATTAAATTCTAGCCACACTTTTTCACATTAATCCTCAATGTGACTAGTTAACCTATAAAAAGTAGGATTCATGTTTTAGAATAGACAGCTAATCAAACTGATCATCAGCTGATGGGTCATGACAGACAGACAGATGCCAGTGTTGCCGTAACAGTAATCTGCAGGTCTTAACAGTATTGCACAGTACTAGTTTTTTTCTCAGGTCTCAATACCATAAGTTTCTTAGTTTTGACCAACAGCTGTCTCACTTAAACATCATGGTTTGGGTCCTGAAAATTATAAAAAAAAAGATGATTCAGTCAGGTTATCCGAAGAGTTCCGATTATTTACAATTTTGTTCTTGTCTTAGTTGTCGTCTTTAGTCAGAATACATCCCAAAATAAAAATGCCAAACTGTATAGACCTATACAAGAGTGGCATTCAGGCAATATTTATTAAATTCAAAGTTTAAAGTCATACACTGCTAGAAAGATGAAACGTTTTTCTACAAACCGCATCATGTGCCAAAACAACTACTGTTAACTAAGCATTTCCACTAATTTTTTGAACAGCTTGACTTTCTAGCATATTTGTAGTGCCTGCCAATACAGAATCCCTGTAGTCTTGTCCTTGAAACCCATGTAAGCTGTATTGGCAGCCACCCCAACTATCGACTGTTACCAAGACAAAAATAAATCAAATATAGATTGTGTTGTGACCTTGTATGCTTGTTGTGGGTTTGTGTATATAACCAGCTTAGCACTTACATTTAGTTATATAATAGTAAGCTCGGGGTGTGGAGATGTAAGCTGAAAACTTAAGACTTAGGGTGTGTTGATGTGAACTATATGGTGCAAATAGTAGGCTTGTGGTTTGACAGTGTAAGCCAGCACTTAAACGTTTGGGGATGCCTTAATTATATGTGGGTGTAATTTGAAGGCTTGAGGGGTGTTTGTAAGAATTAGTAGTATCTGTTTTGTGTAAGCCTACAGGCTGTTCATGTGTTTGTGTGAACCAATGGCTTGTGTGAAATTGGAGGTATTGGTGTGTGGGTATCAGTTACTAAGCTTGGAATGTGTTGGTGTGATCTGCTAGACTTGCGTTTGTTGTTTTGAACTAGTAGGTTTCAGGTGTGTTGGTATGAACTAGTAGGCTTCAGGTGTGCTGGTATGAACTAGTAGGCTTCAGGTGTGCTGGTATGAACTAGTAGGCTTCAGGTGTGTTGGTATGAACTAGTAGGCTTGGGATGTGTTGGTGTGATCTGCTAGACTTGGTTTGTTGTTTTGAACTAGTAGGCTTCAGGTGTGTTGGTATGAGCTAGTAGGTTTCAGGTGTGTTGGTATAAACTAGTAGGCTTCAGGTGTGTTGGTATGAGCTAGTAGGTTTCAGGTGTGTTGGTATGAACTAGTAGGCTTCAGGTGTGTTGGTATGAACTAGTAGGCTTCAGGTGTGTTGGTATGAACTCATTGGGTTCAGGTGTGTTGGTATGAACTAGTAAGCTAGGGGTTTGTTAGATAACATGTTCTGGGTGTGGTACAGAGAACTAGTAGATACTCAGGACATTTTACTGTTATACAACCTCAAGATTTGTACATCAAAGTATTAAACTAGTCTTCTTGTCTTATCCAGTAGATGTGGCACAGGGAACCTTCAATTTAGCCATGAAACATTCCACGTATGCAGAGAACAATGTTAAGCTTGTCCCCTGGAATACTGAGGATGTGAACTAGTAGGCTAAGGATGTGTTGGTATGAACTAGCAGGCTTGGAGTGTGTTGATATGAACTAGTAGGCAAAGGGTGTTCAGTATGAACTAGTAGGTGAGGGGTGTTTGGTATGAACCAGTGGACTCAGGGTGTGTTGATATAAACTAGTAGGCTAGGGTTGTGTTGGTATGAACTAGCAGGCTTGAGATGTCTTGGTATGAACAGTAGGCTTGGGGGTGTGTTGGGTGTGGACTAGTAGACTAGGGTGTGTTAATGTGTACTACCTATTATCTGTTGATTTATGTTAGTGTGAACTAATAGGCAAAGTTTGTGTTAGTGTGAACTAGTAAACTTGGTGTGTTAGTGCGAACTAGCAGGCTTGGTGTGTGTAAGTGTGAACTAGTAAGCAAGGTGTGTTAGTGGGAACTATTAGATACACAATGAGTTTGTAAGCTGTAATTGAAAGCTTGAAGACTTTCCTATGATTTATCAAGTCACAAGGTTATGATGTACAAATTTCCAAGCCTGGTGTGTACATGTCCCAGAGATCATTGACATTACATGATTATTCAGGTCAAGCTCATGATATGTGGCACATATTCTGACGGCTGTGACCATACTTAAGTAAAGCAGCCTTCATAGAGAAAGATAATTGGAGGACACCATATTGAATCACATGTAAATCTACTGTGTACAGTATCTGTGTATATACACGATACAGCTTCAATATAGATAGGTTGTCTAAATTTGTTGGTGATTCTGGTTTCATCATTTGGATTTAAAAATCATTACTCCATAATGGAATTAATAAGTAATGCATCACTACAGGTTTGTAATTGAGGATGAGAGATAGTATTGTATACTCTTAATTGTGTTATGGTGTATTGTAATTGTATTATTGATAACTGGTGTGAAACATTCTTTTATGTATTAATATAATGGCAGTTTTTATGCCATAAAAACAAAGTATATCACAACCAGTAAGAAATTTATGTGTGACAATTTGATGACTACACTTTGACCTTCTTTAGATGAATGATTATTGGGAACCATATTAGCACTTTAATATACACTGTGTGAGATAATGATGAATTTATTTTCAGCTTTTCTTAAATCTTATATACACTAAGATGAAAAATAGTGTGTCAAAATATTGATAAGATTACAGCAAATGCAGGTTGAATAAGTGTTTTTCCTTAAGTATGTTTTTAGGTGTTAAGAAAGTACTAACCCAAAAAAAAAGCTGATTCAGCTATACTTCGTTCAAAACATGGTCATAGCCATTAAATGTGTATGAACCCACTTGTGTATTATCACTTAAGTGTTCTAGTGATACGAGTTACTATTTTATTTATGTTTTAGAATGAGAGGCAGTAAATGAGATTACGTTACTATGGACCACGTGTACTGTTGATACTGTGTGTACTGACCATCACTGTAATTATAATCATGGATCACAGTCACCATCAACACCATCACCATGATCATAACATGATGACCACCACACCTGCTGACCAACAGGAACATAGTATTTTACATCAAACACATTATCATGACCACTTTGCCCACTCGGGCCATGAGAATGCTGAACACCATGCAATAGAGCATGTAAGTATATTGACATAGCCAACTGCAGTTTAACATTGATATTTAAGTACCAATTCCCCACCTTAGGATGTCATTTTAGATTTCAGGGTCAGAATTTAACACCAGTACCTATAAAGATAATTTTTCTTTCTTTGAAGTTATGTTGAAATCCATCTGAAATATTGACAATCCATTGGTCTGTAAGTCACACAAAATAATGTATTGGCTAATGGTCGGTAACAAAAAACAAATGATTATTTGTAACAAATGTCAGCTGTATTAATATGAAGGTCAAGTTACCCAAGTCAAATGTGTGGTAAGATTATTTCTCTTTTAACGAACACAATGTTTAAAGGAAAGGCTAACTATAATCAAATGAAATATACAACCAAAAAATCAAGGTCGCCTTGTCAGATGTTTAAAAAATATCAGTAGTTATATTATTTGGATTACTTATGAATATTTTTAATGAAGCTTCATGTATGATTCAGCCACATGATCAAAATCTGCTCTGAAATCACTTAATTGAAGGTCAGAATTACCAGGTAGAAGTCAAAAGTTGAGTCTACATTTCCATTCACAAACTAGTCAATCTTTGTTATGAAAAAATATTTCTGTTAAAAATTTTGCCTTTAATTGACAGGATGTTGAACATTTAAGCACAGAGGTGACAGTGAGAACCCCTCCCCAATGTACTTCCTATGATGTTCTATATTTACTGGGTATATCTGTAATATTGTGATGGTGTCTTGTTTTACAGCACCCAATGTATTTCAATTTCCAATGGAGAGGAACTGTGCTTTTTGAATCTTTTACGTTGGATGCAAAAACAGGTAATTGGTTTCAAACTTTGCTCTCGAATGGTAATGTAAGTAATATATTTGTTATTTTGCAGTTATACAGTGTAATTCTGGAAAGTTATGAGCAAATGTGATATAGCTTGAGTGTTTAGACAGTAAAGCTGTTGACACAAATTCATTGATAGGAAAATACAAGGACTATTGTTACAGATGGTCTTAATTTTTTCACAAGAACTAAAACAAATATATAAATTTTGGTGGCATCAATGAATCCATTTAGACGTGCTGACTTTATGTTACCAATTTGTTACATTTTGTCTGTAATGAATGAGGTATAACCATTAACAATAGTTATTGCTGCTATTTATCTGGATCTTCTTACTAGTTTTACACAGAAATTTTAGGTGGACTCTTGTTTGTGTAATAAAGAATCACCATCATTGGGGCATATCATAATCAACATACCATCAGGCTCCCATCTACAATACATGTTAATTTTTCAATCCAAAGTTGACTTAATGTTTGGATATTTTTTATTCCACTATGCACACTTGTGTTAAGATATTTTTTCCACCAAGGGGACTAGAAATTTACACAAAATAGATCATCTTCACCCAGGGAACTAGAAATTTACACCAAATAGATCATCTTCACCCAGGGAACTAGAAATTTACACCAAGTAGATCATCTTCAGTCAGGGAACTAGAAATTTACAACAAGTAGATCATCTTCAGTCAGGGAACTAGAAATTTACACCAAATAGATCATCTTCACCTAGGGAACTAGAAATTTACACCAAATAAATCGTCTTCACCTAGGGAACTAGAAATTTACACCAAATAGATCATCTTCACCCAGGGAACTAGAAATTTACACCAAATAGATCATCTTCACCTAGGGAACTAGAAATTTACACCAAATAAATCGTCTTCACCTAGGGAACTAGAAATTTACACCAAATAGATCATCTTCACCCAGGGAACTAGAAATTTACACCAAATAGATCATCTTCACCCAGGGAACTAGAAATTTACACCAAATAGATCATCTTCACCCAGGGAACTAGAAATTTACACCAAATAGATCGTCTTCACCCAGGGAACTAGAAATTTACACCAAATAGATCATCTTCACCCAGGGAACTAGAAATTTACACCAAGTAGATCATCTTCACCCAGGGAACTAGAAATTTACACCAAATAGATCATCTTCACCCAGGGAACTAGAAATTTACACCAAATAGATCATCTTCAGTCAGGGAACTAGAAATTTACACCAAATAGATCATCTTCAGTCAGGGAACTAGAAATTTACAACAAGTAGATCATCTTCAGTCAGGGAACTAGAAATTTACACCAAGTAGATCATCTTCAGTCAGGGAACTAGAAATTTACAACAAGTAGATCATCTTCAGTCAGGGAACTAGAAATTTACAACAAGTAGATCATCTTCAGTCAGGGAACTAGAAATTTACACCAAATAGATCATCTTCACCTAGGGAACTAGAAATTTACACCAAATAAATCGTCTTCACCAAGGGAACTAGAAATTTACACCAAATAGATCATCTTCACCTAGGGAACTAGAAATTTACACCAAATAGATCATCTTCACCCAGGGAACTAGAAATTTACACCAAATAGATCATCTTCACCCAGGGAACTAGAAATTTACACCAAATAGATCATCTTCACCCAGGGAACTAGAAATTTACACCAAATAGATCATCTTCACCTAGGGAACTAGAAATTTACACCAAATAAATCGTCTTCACCAAGGGAACTAGAAATTTACACCAAATAGATCATCTTCACCTAGGGAACTAGAAATTTACACCAAATAGATCATCTTCACCCAGGGAACTAGAAATTTACACCAAATAGATCATCTTCACCTAGGGAACTAGAAATTTACACCAAATAAATCGTCTTCACCCAGGGAACTAGAAATTTACACCAAATAGATCATCTTCAGTCAGGGAACTAGAAATTTACACCAAATAGATCATCTTCAGTCAGGGAACTAGAAATTTACAACAAGTAGATCATCTTCAGTCAGGGGACTAGAAATTTACAACAAGTAGATCATCTTCAGTCAGGGAACTAGAAATTTACACCAAATAGATCATCTTCACCCAGGGAACTAGAAATTTACACCAAATAGATCATCTTCACCTAGGGAACTAGAAATTTACACCAAATAAATCGTCTTCACCAAGGGAACTATAAATTTACACCAAATAGATCATCTTCACCCAGGGAACTAGAAATTTACAACAAGTAGATCATCTTCAGTCAGGATCATCTTCACCTAGGGAACTAGAAATTTACACCAAGTAGATCATCTTCAGTCAGGGAACTAGAAATTTACACCAAGTAGATCATCTTCACCCAGGGAACTAGAAATTTACACCAAATAGATCATCTTCAGTCAGGGAACTAGAAATTTACACCAAATAGATCATCTTCAGTCAGGGAACTAGAAATTTACACCAAATAGATCATCTTCACCCAGGGAACTAGAAATTTACACCAAATAGATCATCTTCACCCAGGGAACTAGAAATTTACACCAAATAGATCGTCTTCAGTCAGGGAACTAGAAATTTACACCAAGTAGATCATCTTCAGTCAGGGAATTAGAAATTTCCTTTTGAAGTGGCTCTTTATCTATGATGTAAGAAATATTTTGTGTCTCTCAAGATTGTCTTTGTTGCAGGGATTTTTTGCCTGATCCTGATGACCTTTGTGATTGGATTTGTGTACGAAGCTGTCAAGTACCTACGTCAGTACATCCACAGGGATATAACCATCGCTGAGTATGTTATCTTAGTTTCTACTGGGTAGTTAGTAAAACCTTGATTTAGTGTGTTATCCTTGTTCCTATCGGGTAAGCAGTTGCCATGGTGATTGATGTGATGTCTATATTGTAGTGGAATCCTGACAAGAACTGACTCGTACATATATATATACCCAGCGCTATATACATCTTTAATTTCATGACATATTTCTTGATTGCACTTAATTCATGCATTCCTTTCACATTATGACAAATACATGTTCCTTGCAAAATAATACAGATACCATTATCATACTATTACACTTCTATATACTTGATTTTTTTTTCAAAGTGCACTAACCTACAATACACATTTTCATTTAAAAAGGTTTCTTCACCATTATAAATTTTTTAAAGTGTGACATGTATGATGCACTTTGCCATGATTACATGTTAAAGTCCATCCCATTAGAAGACTTGACTTTACCCTGTTAGAGAGTATGATTTATCATGTTCACTTTACCATGATTGATAAATATATCATAGAATAGATTACTTTTAAAAAAAACTGTTCACTTTACCTTGATAAAACTGTACTCTTTACTCTGTTAAAACAGTACACTTCACTCCGTTGAAACAGTATACTATGCCTTGTTAAGTCTGTACACTTTTCATGGGCAATACTTCACACTGTTAAACTTGTGGTTTTTTTCTGGATAAATCTGTACACTTTACCTTGATTAACATGTAAATTTTACAGTGAGAAGATAGTATTTTTCTCTGTTTAAGTTGTACTCTATAACCTATTAAACACATTTGCCTTGTTAAAGGGCATTCCCTTTAATATGAACATTACCTGTATAATAGTGTATTTCACACAGTCTCTAGTGTTGGGAAATTCCATTACATCTCTATTCAGTCTCTAGGAAGTTCTTGTCTCAAGTCAACCGGAGTTTCTCTTAGTGAAATTAGGTCACATATACTTATCAGCAGCACTTTGCCATTACAGATCGGCTGAGCCTGAGACTAGCGACACCACTCACCTTCTAGCAGACACCTACCAACAAATCAGGTCACTTACATCATACAGCTGCTTCATAATGCTATCTCCTACACCTGCAAATTCACATCTACAAAGTCTCTCTCACAAACTCTCTTTCTTGCTTGCACATACACAATTACTCTCTTACAACAATTACTACAAATCTCTGTCTCTCCTACACCTACAAATTCGCTCACTCTTTCTCTCTTACAACTTAAGATTTCTATCTCTTTTCCTGCAATGATCAGCAATCAGTCTATTTTACATCAATATATTTTGTAAGGGTAATCACACTAACCTCACTTATGTTGTTATAAAAAACATTGCATTGATACACAAAGACATGCACAAACATCTATCCAATATTATTAACACTGTGTATAAATATGAGCATGGACCATTTTTACTTAACATGATATACAGGAAGTTTATCCTCACAAGTGTTCTTAGTGTATTTTATTACACTGTCATATGTTCATATATCTATGATCAAAAGCTGTTATGATTTGCTAATATTGAAGAAAACATATTGTTCCATCCTAGACCATGTCATTCTTAATGTGTTTACTTTATCCCCTGTCTCTGTAAACTGTAATTTCATATTCTTCAGATTATAGTGTGTCTATAGCAAGATTAAATGAATAAAAATACTGCAAAATGGAACAATGTACACCAGCCCAATGCCTAAGAAGTATTTATGATTTATCATATCAGAAAGATTACAATATGGAAATGATAAAAGAGTAACAAGCTAAAATGTTAATGTGGAAAACAGTGCTATACATTTTAATGATAAACTAAAGCATACCACAATTCCATGTAATGATTATAAAGCTTACCTATTTTTTAATTAATTGGTTAAAGACTGAGGAAGGAAATTATCATACAAACTTGAAATGTGAAGAAAATGAAGGGAAATAACTCTTTCAAAAATTGTTCAATCGAACTGTTATGTAAGCAAACACAATTTCATAATCATATCATAGTTATAAAGTCTGCAAAGTTTGACAAGAAAACTGACAGAAAAGATCTTATAAGTTTAACAGTATGAAAAATCAGTCATTGACTCTTCCAAAGACAGTTTAATCAAACTGTTGTACAGGAAAACACAACAGTAGTTTGAAAAAGATTGGCTGAAAACTATGTTAGGACATTTATGGACAAATATAAGTTTATGACAGATGGACAGTGTTCTTCCATATGATTAATTGTCAAAATTTTTGACAGATATATAAACATTTGTGACAAGTTTCATAAAATCACATATCAAATGGAACAAAGTTAAGATCCTTTTAATCACATAGCGAATATTGGAGAAAACAGACATTTCCTCATCAACCTTTAAGTCAGTTAGATTTGATAAAAAAATCAGTTGTCTCCATAGTTATATCACAGTACAGTCTGTGTGTGTGACATAATTTCATTTTGTAAGCTTGATATCCTAATATTTTACTTATTGCACATGTAATACACAAAACTATTACATGGGTATATTCCCTGATAACAAGATATTGTAATTTTGCTTTGAAAAAATCTTGACCTACATTTTTTTTCTGCACAGGATCACATTCATGTCCATTACTTCATTTCAGGTTATTTAGGTATTAAGGTCCTGTAAAACAGGTTTGATATGTAATTGTATCATGTCTGATGAAGACCATATTGTTTGACTGTTATAGGTACTCCATACGGAGTCGTGAGCACCTGCTACAAACGCTGCTGTACGTCGTCCAGATGGTGTGTAGTTATATACTAATGCTGGTGGTAATGACATACAATGTTTGGGTAGTGGTCACCATGTTGGTGGCCCTGGGAGGAGGGTTCTTCATCTGTGGCTGGAAGATCCACCAAATGGGTGGCCTAGACATTGAGGCTCCTTGTCAAAATGAGTGCCACACCTCAACGGTCAAACAGGAACTTGGGCGTAGCGAGTTCCGTGAGTCTGAACTGGAACCTTTGAGAGAGGGCATGGAGACTAACCCTGATCTTGACACCAACAATACAAGGGAAACAAAAATCTAAATTTTGTATGGCTAAGAGAGAATATTTTTGTTTAAATATACAGAGATATTTGTTTTTGCAGTGTTTAAAGGGAGAAGTTGTAAGTGAATCATGTTGTAGTAAATATCTTAATTTTGGGGATTATATAATTACTTTTCTTGATACTCAAAGTGACATGTATTACTGAATGGTGGAGATAGCCAATGTGCACCTACCTGTTGTAGGTAGACCATACCCTGGACAAGCCCGTCTTAGTTGCATTTTGTTGTAACCCTGTTGCATTTAATAGATATTTATAAAGAATGACCTTATTTGTTTGTCCATTCAATTACTGAGACCGTCCTAACAAAGATACACACATCCTTTCCCACCAAAAACCTTCCAAAAACATTTGTGACTACCTGGTACATAGTATGTGTCACCTGTCTATGACAGGTATGAGAATACTCAGTTAAACTCTGGTTTATGGTTGTATGTTTGTGATAAGTTCTGAAAAAATCTTGACTTGGTATCTTATTGTGTTCATTATAATATCTGTGAGCCTACACATGTTCAGCTTTGTGAAAACACATTGTTGGTGCGTTGTTTCACATTTGTCTGTTTGTGATGAGAGATTTCTTTGTCCATCAAATTTTATTTATTTTTCTTTTTTATTTTTATTCAAATGTTTATAAAGGTACAATCTTTGTAAAAATATTATAAGTATCCTTCAGTAAGTCTTTGTCTTATCCTTCAGTAAGTCTAGGAGACCAATCCCCTAATCTCTGCATGGAGTGGGCTTAATACAGGACCATAAAACAGCATTTATTATTCTGTTAAAGATCAGTGTATGTAGGTGGGCCGACATTTCAGTTGGCCTGATATCTACACAGTTAACCTTTCTTACATAATTTCTTTTTGTGTCAAGTGAAATTTGTCTCTATGTTTGTTATAATAATATTTTTAGACTATTGGTTGTAGTTTCGTAGGAGCTACTGAAATAGGTTGTTTCTGTGTTGATAACTTATAATGTTTAAAAATTTGTTTGATGTTTTATTTAAAGGTACATATGTTCATGTTGTGAATAGGTTACTCCTGATAGTATGATGTAATAACACAATTTATAGGAGAGTGGAACATTATCAGGGTAATGTTAAATATGAAATTATGTTTGTAGAATCATGATTATAGTAAAATATGCTTAATACAAGTTAAGGTTAATAGCATGAACAGGCTTGATAACAAAAATCATTTTTATACTTGAAAAGAATATATATTGAATAATGTCTATTGCAGGAACAGGTCAAGCAATGAATATACCCTGTTAATCTTTTTTGTGATTATCTATATCTACAACATGCTTTATTACAAATTCGTGTGAAAGCCAGATCACACAAAGTGTTCAGTCATGTGTAAAGACAATCATGTGTGAAGAAAAAAGTAGGAGCACATTAACATAAAAAAAATAATATTGATTGCTGGTGCAGTGTAGAATATAACTTACTACAGTGTAAATATAAAACCATGTTTAGAACTGGGATAGTCTTAACACAAAATCTTTTTCAATACAAGGTTACACAAGAGTCTATTGAGAGGAAGTTGTCTTATAAACAACTTTGACCTGAATTGCTGAATTTCTTGCTAGCTGTTGGTTGTAAATTTGTTGTACTAAACATTGATGCAGGTGACCATAATAATATGAAGTACATATCTGCCAAATGTTTAAAACATCCAATAGGAAGATTGTGCATGTTTTAAAACTCAAATGCCAGAAAAAAGTACAAATGACTACTAGTAAATTACATATTTAAAGCTGTTCAAAACCATTGCTAAGATTAGGATGAAATGTCAGAGGTCTCCTTCAAAAATAGAAAGGGTTTGCATGTGTAGAAGTAATGTTGAAATTTGGTGTCTTTGTGTTCATACATGTGCTTCTTACCCAAATTGTAAATAAGGATAAATATTGTTTGGTAGTTTTGTAATGTTGAAAATGTGAATTAGCTTTATGAAATTTGAGAAATATCCTTTTGATTATTGTATGGAATGAGGTTTCATATTGGTATCCATGATGTTGATAAGTTTAAGAATTTCTAGTCATTTCAGTCAAAGTTTTGAACAATTAATGAAAGAAAAAACATGTCTGTACAATGAAGACTTAATTCCTATGTTATGCCCTACTTGATTGACTGTGTATCACTTTTTCCAAGGTGTAACTCTCATCATATGGATACAGACCAATTACCAATGGAGTCATATGTCATGTGTATTCAGATTAATTGACCGCCTTTTCATTTTTACTAGAAATTTGGGCAGACATTGAGGAGTTCAGATTGCAAGCAATGATATTCAGCCTTGTTTTTTTTTCTGTTTATGTCAAAAGTGATGACACTGTACAAGGTCAAATTCTGCAGAAGTACAGTGAAATTATTTTTCCTGATGAATAAACGTATTATCTACAAGATCAAACTGTGTCTGTATAGGTGGTCTACCTGTATAGATCAGGTTAGTGCTGAGAGTTTGTGGTGCTGTAGGTACAGCAAAGTGCTAATGATGTTGTTATATTTCATGCACAAAGAATATATTCCTTTCACAATACACAAATATTAATACTGTACCATTCGCATGCCTAGAGATAATTGATGTCATATAATCTTGAGGAATATTTATTGCCATGTGGGAATCACCAATGAACTTGTGGGTCCAATACTTCTCTTTGGTTGTTGCATTAAACTGGTGATGATTTCTTAGTCATATGATAATAACTTAGGGAGGAGTGTTATATATATTGTATGACATGTTTATTATTATTACATGACATTGTATTATTATTTAACATCATTTCTTCTGCCAAACACCTGCCATGACTTTTTTCAGAATGCTAATGAAACTTTAAATGTAGTGTTTCCAAGCATTACATTTCAGTGTACTCTATATTTCCATATTCCCCGCTGTGTCTCATTATCTGTTTCCAGTAACAGATTACGAAACATGTTGGAAATTTTTTTTTAAATCTTTCAAACTATTTATATATAAGTTCTATTTTCTTCAAATCAGGTATACATTTTCCTTTTTTAGCCAGTTACCACTATTTAACCATTCTTTACACAGAACCACAATATTTGGTGCCAGGTGTCAACAGTATGTGTGCAATGGATATATAGATCATAACTTACGTAGTCATTGAAATATGTTATGTACTATGTTACACATCACTCCTGTTGAAACCTTTAATTTTACATTTGATAAAGTATTCTTTTTGGATTTATAATACTGAATTAACACTTAATTGGTTTCTCTGGACCTACTTTGCACTAACCGTATCTACAAATAGACGAGTTGGCACTTTTTGTAACTTGCTGTACACTGTACATCCCCTGTATCACTTACTCTCGTTTAGATCTCATTCTCTATTTAGTTGTAGTTAAGCCTAATTGTCTGACCCTCTCCTCCTTCAGTATCTATCTCTCTTCAAGTAAGTTCCCCCTTAGAGCCCCAACAATATTTATTTCACTCTAGTCATTATCCTCCTACAGTAACTATTTCACCCTACCGTAAACATCCCACTACACAACTATTTACCCTACAGCAAATATAACTTTCATCATGATTATATATATATTTATGAATTGAAATCTTGGAATAGATGCAAGTAGTAATACATGTATAATGATTGAGAGTTACCAAATCATATCTTTTCATGTTATTTAAAACCAAGATCCCACCAAAGGAGGATATTCTGCCAAATACAACAGTTATAGTGGAGTTATATGTAAAAAGTTTTTTTGTTGGGTTTTTTTTTATTATTTGTATTGTTTCTGTTTTTTTTTATTTGTCTTTTCATTTCCAATGGGGCATTAAAGAAAGTAATTAACTGACTATTGTTCAGCTCAAAATTTTCAAAATTGTCAACGATACATTTGTATTATGATATCACAAAATAAAAAGCCTTGAATGTCATAATGTTGATATGTAATACTAAAAATCAACCTGCAAGGGCAATTGAATTAGTTCGGGGTAATGGAAAATCTCGTTGAGCTTCACATGTTATTGTTAAAATGAAAATTCATAGTTTTTCTTTTATAAATCATATGCAATGAAAACTCATGACATCATTTTATGACACCTGTCTGAAAAAGCTATAATCCTAAATTGTTTGCAAGGTTGTCAAAATTGGGAGAAAATTTATCATTTATATTATGTTGTTGTGGCAGCTTTTTTTCTGTATCATTAAACCTTAACCTGCCTTTCAATTAATACTAGGTCTCATCTATATCACAACCATTAAATCTGATAGATCACATAATGTGCTTCGTTGTCAGGGACACTGAATACAGTCTGTTAAATTCTGTGTGATTTTCTAGTCCGGCTATTACATGTATAGGGAAACTTGTTGAATAAAATCCTCTTGGACATGCTATTTTTCCGTGGGGATTTGTTGAATAATACTATTGTTATATTTTTTTTACATGTTTGTTGTACAGCTTATATTGATGGAATGGGAAGCACTTAATTTGAAAAATAAAATGTTTACAGATTGCATATTGAATTGTAGTTCTTTAAACCACTAACAATGAAACATGTAAATTAACACTATTTACGATTCAGATGATAATTAATCTGTATTATTTCTCATCAATCCAACAACTAATCAAATGAAGATTACATGGACAGTTATTCTGAGTTCAAATACCAGTAGTTTGAAACCTGTACAACCAACACCTGTCCATCAAAATGTCCCAAGCCACCAAATTTATCCTGCAATAGAAAGGGGCCAACACAAAATAAAAGTAGAGGATTAGCTTACCAGAGGGCAAATAGATAATATTGGTATCTTTGCTGATCTTTTTGAAAAAAAAAAATAGATAGGGTTATTACCATGTATGGACTTACTGCTGTTAGTTGTCACACTTTGAGCAAAGAATAAGTCGTAACTAGCTACTAGCATCTATGTTGGTTGCTAGCCATTTGCAATAGTGTGTACCAGGGGATAACAAAAAGATTTGAGCTTCACACTTTTTTGGCCCACAGTCATCAGATGGTTGGCTATTTTGATCAAACTTCATCCCTTTCTCTTAAACAATCATCGTTACCCATCTGTTCCTTGCCTACTTAATTTTAAAGCTGATCAGTGAAGAAAATTTTGGTATGCTATTTCTTGAGAACTGGAGGGATATTTCTCAAATTTAATGTGTATGCTCGCCATGGTCCCTAGTTGTGCCTATTTGATTTTGAGACTGATACGTGACCAGAAGGATTGACGGGGGACCTCGTGGATTTTGACAATTGAAGTTTACCGTCATTTCCCTTGCTTGAGAAGTATTAAAACAACATTTTCAAACTTGACTTGAATGTTCCCCATGGTCATTAGTTGTACCCATTCAATTCTATGTCTACACATCTAGTATGCATCCTTGTCTTACCTACTGATTTCATGTAAGATAATATTGCTGGTTCCAAATTTTCACTCACCACATGTTGAGAAACATAACCCCAGTGAATTTGGTCAGATAGGTAAAAAGTTGGATGTAGCTTGTAGTCCAGGAAGGTCAATCTGCCAAAACAGAGTGACTGCCGTCTCCCTCTGCTATTAAACGCTGGTGGAAGGAGTTCCAAAGTGGAAAAGCATGCTAAGAAGGAGACCGCAGATCAGGAAGACCATCAACCAGTACTAACCCCCACAAACACTGATGCAGTGCACAAATTAGAACACTAGTAGATGTAACAGATATTTAATATGGATCCGTGTATATCACACGGTATACTTCATGAGAAACTACACTTGTCCATGGAATCTGAAAGATAGGTCTCGAGACTGCTTTCAGATGGCATGGAGCAATCAAGTTCGGTACAACACCAACCAAGATGGTTTCACTTTCGGGTGTAATGAAACCTTAATTTGCAATGATGAAGAATCGATGGAATAGAAACACTTGAAAAAATCTCCTAAGAAAAAGAAGCTAAAGTCATCAGATTCACCAGAGTTATGGCGATCATTTTTGGGACAGTATAGGAGCGATACACATTGACTTCTTGCCCAATGGAGCTGCAATGGATTATAAGCATTAGTTAACCTACTAAAGCAGGTGTAACAATCAAACGCATCGGGAACAATATGTCGGGACAGGACAACTCGCCAGTCCATACCAGTCGGGGTTGCAATGGAAGCTGCGCGCGAGTATAGTCACGAACTCTTCTTAAACCCGTCCTATTCTCCAGACCTGACTCTCAATGACTATCATTTCCTTCTTCGACTGAAAAAACACCACCAGCCGAAGATTAGAGAATGGTGATGATGAGCTGGGCCTTGCTATGGGGGAGTGGTTAGGTGACCAATGAGTGGAGTAATACTCTTCGGGTATCAATGATTGACAAACTAGATAGAACAAGTGTATAGAGTTGGAAGGGGGCAATGTTGGAAAGCCGAATAGTATATCTTGTTTCTGTGTGAGACTGGGCACGTTTTGATATACCCTATATCAACCTGTGTAATGAAGGAAGCATAGGATTGTACATCATTTTCACAAGAATATTTGGACAGCCATCATCAAATTCTTAAACAATTCTTGTTATTGTTCTCACTTCAGCAGCACTAAAAACACCTTTTTTCGTGTTTTTGATGTAGGTTTTCTTTGAGTCTTAGATATGCATCAATGATATTGATAAAAAGAAATTTAAAAGAAAATTAAAAAGAAATTTTCTTAGAAAAGAAGTGTGCATTATTTCTAGGCCTAGTTACCCCTCAAGTCTACGAGAATCACGAAGCGCGAAAATAATGATTTCAGAAAATAGATAAAATTTAAACGACACTACAACTAGTAGGGTAGACATTTTTTAGTGCTTCATCTAATGTTGGACACGATGCTGACCCCAGATAAATTAATCATGTTGGGTATGTTTAATGGCGAAATGATTATTACTCGCCTATTCAGCCCGCTGAACATTTTTTTCGTTGACAGAACGAACAAGATAAAAACGAGGCCTAATGGGCCTGCATTGTTCATCTGGTCGTGGATGTTTTCACTAATTCTTTCGCGTCTAACATCATTGACGTTCACATCTTGTGGGTAAAATATCATTATTCAAACTTTGAAAAAAGGTTTATAACACAGAAGATTAAATATCATTCTTGTTCTAAATCCTTTCTGAGATTGGAACAGGAAACTACCAGCCAAGTACTGCATTTCCAGGATAATAGGAAAAGTAGTTTGAGTGCTTTGAAAAATCTGAACCATTGTTTTAGATTGTCGTAATGTCATTCATATTTCATTGTGCTTCATCTCGCTAAACTACTAGTCAAACATCATTATTTCATGTCTTTTGGTAAATCAGAAGACGTCGTTTGAGAGTTCTAACATATGTTACACTTGTGACCTTACGTATTGGTCAAGGTCATTTTTTTCGAACTTTGTCCGTCGTCAACTGGGGATCCTACCCGTCAAATATAATTATTTTATATCTTTTTTTTTTCTATTATTCAGAAGATATTGTTTGAGGGTTTAAACAAATTTGATTCTTGTGACCCTAAATATAGGTCAAGGTAATTTTGCTTCGGGTACTTTGTTTAGCTTCATTCCAAGAAGTTACCAGAGCAAAATATGGTCTTCTTGATTAAAAGGAATAAAATTTGACGCAAGACAGACAAACGCCGCTCCACGGCATCAGTTTACATGGTCCACCCTTACTTCGTTCTGTCATTGTGAAAAGAATGGTATTTAAGAGGTGCAAAATAGCGACATATTTGGTACAAATCAACCACTCAATACGTCCCTGGGGCTGAGATTCTTGTTATGTTGGATTCCGTGTTGCATGTCACATTATGACGAACAGTACTAAATGAAACACCAGTTTTTAAAATAACGGTTATGACTCAAATTATCCACTATAAGATGGTCATTTGGAACCATCTTGAATATTCAACGAAGTCAGAATGTGGCATGCATAACTTGAAATCAGGCACGTCGTAGTCAAATTCCGAAATGACATGGTTGCTCAGTGGCATGGTAGCTATTTTGAATATTGGATACACAAAATATGGTATGCAGAAGCGATGCTGGGAGTTAAGATACGTCCCAACCTCCATCCTACCAATAAGGTGATTCTTTGGGGGAAAGATGATCAACTTGCAAACTTTGGACCGTCAAAATGACTGATGGAAGCGATAGTCATGATTATCTTGGTGTTGAAAAAAAAACTCGAATGCCTTTAAAACTGACAGTTCTGCAAATTGCCTGCAGATTGTCATTTTCAATATCAAATCGTGCTCAAAATGCGACATATATATTAATAAAGTAGGGCACAAACCTACTAGAACTATTTCAAATCCGATCAATGGCCAAATCTGCAGATGAATTTCCCGACCAGATCTATATGCTAAACGAGGACTTACATAGGTTATAGGAATAGGCTGCATTTCTTGAAAATCAAGCCTATTTGCTAATTTTCATTAAAATTTCGTCATCAAGACTGCCTGACCAATCAATGTAATTTATGGAAAATCAGCTGATACGGATGCTGGCTGTCACGCCATGAAGTTGTCCAAGGAAAGCGAAATGTGTTCCATTGGATGGCTACATAGGCATATAAGTCCCAAGTCCACTCTGCATTCGAAGTTACCTTATTTAGAAATAAAAGTGTGAAAATATGGCAAATCATAATTCACATTTTTTATTTCAATTACTGAAATTAATTATATTGGCATTAAACTTTTATCAAAATATGTCGTCTGCTGTATGGCGTGACGTCAGGTTCATAGTTCAATTATCCGGGCACCTGACTGTAGAGTATTAGTGGCGAGTACTGTCTGTTGTTAACCTCGTGAATTTTTCAGTGAAGTTGGAGAATTGCTAACTCTATTTGCTCAGTCCGAAGCGGTAAAAAGTGTCATCCGATGTCCTAACAGTATCATGAGGGTAAGTTATGATAGTTGTTCGACTATTTTAGCAGGCAGTGTATCTGACGTTTACCTAAGATGAAGTTCGAGAGCTGGTGGTGTAAGTAGCGCGTTGTCCTGTTTACACCCCAAAGGCGATGATAGTGTCTGACCACAATCGCCAAATATTAGTGGGATTTTAACGATTATGCTAGTAATGATAGAGAGGTAAGTGTGTCTTATATCCTATTACATTCTTTGTACTTGTATGTGGATGGTGTCACTTTTTCGCTGGTTTCGCCACACTGTATGTCCCGACACTTTCCCTACATAGAAAGTGAACTTGCCTTGTTAAAGTAGATGTCACGCCCCCCATTCACCACCTTGAGCCACTCTCAAAAATTTCTCCTGATACGCCCAAAGTGTTATAATTGAATAACTTCGTTAACATCGGATTTCGTATGTGATATCGGGGTTTTTGTTTGAAGCTTTTTTCTGAACATGTTCTACGCCGGTAACGTGATTCTAAAATGAAACTGAAAGGCGAGGGTGGTACGAAGATATTTTGACCCGAAATAAAACAATAAATAAATAAAATGTATTCCAATGTAGTTCCACAAAGATACTAGACCTACCTAATTTTATTTTGAAAAGACATCTTAATTGATATAGCGGTCATTCAACATTTAATTCTAACATGATAATTTGTTTATGTGGCCTTTTGCTTTTTCAAATGTAATTTACTCTATCAGGTTTTGTCCATTATTTTTGAAAGTCATATCAGCAATTGTAAATGTGTAATAATCAGATATATAAATATACCTGATCTCATGCACATGAATTTTATTTGGATTCATTATCATCAGATAACAATTAAATATATTTTAATACGCTTTATATGTAGCAGCTTTTACAGAAAGCTATTTTTTTATTTTTTAAATTTGGTGTTAAATTCCAACATGAAATTAGTCAACAGAAGGTATGTGATGTTAAGTTAATATTTATTGTCAGGAATCTTCAAAAGTATCTCTTATTGACATAATACACTTAGTAATCAACAATCATTTGTAGTTTGTTAGATTAGTAGTAGTATTAATTGAAGACAAATTGCATGGACTTAGCATGGAAAATGCTTAGCATGCCCACCTGATACATACATATATTTATCATTATGGGCTCTTTTAAATGTTAAATAATTACATAGAGAAATTTCAGTCAAATAATTGATTCTGATATATTATCATGGATTAATTGTAATTTTAAAACTGTCTAATCAAATATCAGAACAACACTATGATAATCAATTACTTGTTAGTTTTTTTAGTTTTACTTACTAAAAATGAATATACTGTATTAATCTGACATCAGCCCATTTCTGCATGATAAGCCTACTCATGGCAATTCATTGAAATGATACAAGTTTATGTCTATCAACACGTCCACACTATATCACATAAAGATAACATGGTACCTTATGGCTTTGTTATACAAGAGTAAGCTCCCTTGAAGGTAAGTTAACTGTACATGTCTGTGATCACATAGGGCAAATTGATTATCGCCCATTTGCTATGGTCAAGCTGTTTCATCTAATGAAATTCACGTCGCCCTGACACACTGACACTCGTCAAGTCATGATATAGAAGGAGTCACAGAGATGGAAAACCTGTAACCAACCAACCAACCAACCAAACCAACCATCTGATGAGAGGACAGAGTACAGAGAAAATCTTATCTTATATCTTTCATTTAATTGTTCAATCCATTTTGAATACATAGACATTCTCATCATAAGTAATTGCTGCCAGAGCCTATTGAAGTCAGCAATGTGAAGAAGTAAGATACATTCCAGTTTATGTAAAAAGTATTTTGGTAATCAAAATTTATCTAGTCTGCGGAAGGTCTTTGTTATTGCCAAATTGGGACATTCCAACAATATAAATAAATATTTACAAAGAGAGATCTGTAATCATTTATTAAGTTATGGAGGTTTCTGACAAGATTTTTCATGATTATTTTCAAAATGTGATTAGAACCAGGTGAAGCACGACTAAGACAAAGCACTACTTTTGCATGCAATAACAGTCTCAGGTTTCTTTCTGATTAAAAAAAAAAGATATACAACACTTCTGTTTGTTTCAATAACAGAATGATACATGTAATGGAAATTTAGGAAGGAAAGCTTAGAGATTTGAATTAGACACTGACATATGTTGGTTTAATTTTGTACATTCTGGTATAATGGATCATTCATAGTACTAGTAGTAGCCAAAGTCGCCACTTGAAGCTTCAAGAAGTATGAAGAATAGGTATAATAAGGATGTAATGAAAGAAGTTCTGTATATAATTACTAACACAAAGTAGTAAATATTTATGTACACAGTTAAAACTTTATGTTTTAGCAAAAAAAAAATGATGCAAATAAAAGTTGTTAAACACATGACCCTTGTTTTGACACTTTTACCCTTGATTTAGCTGGTCATGACCTGATCATCCTCTCTGAGAGGTTGGCAATACTGTGTATGTAAGTAACTAATTCAGTATGAGAGGTCAGAAATTTAAAATTCAGATTAGGCTTTGCTGGAGGAAAAAAACAATTTATAATTATTTTATAGAATCTCAGCCGTTGTGGTACATATATATACGTGTACCAGTAGTGTACTTGTGGAAACTATCAGAATAACTTGGAAGTTTGCCTGTGTATTGTATATTCTAAGGGGGTGTATTCTTTACTTCTCATCAGAGGAGAGGTTTTAATTGGTATTAAACGAACCATGACATGTACATTTAACATACATACGGTGATGTGGTGTATGGTAAAGAATTAAATCGTGTCGTTGTGTATTAGTGTAAATTTTTAATTTCTCATTAGATTACTAAAAGAGAGTTTCACATAGTTTTATATTTTCAGTGTTCAAGTCAGAAGTTAGACATACTTTTGAAATAATTAAAAAATATGTTATAGACACTGTTAGCCATCTTATAATAAGATTTAGTGATAAAATATATTTGATAATGTCTTTAATAATATCAAAGTATTTGTTACAATTAAGGCAAATAAATTTACCATTCATGAAAGAATTAAATTCTTTCTGGCCTGTAAATCATGAACAAAGTGGCATGATTTGCACTATGATAACAAATGTAATGACAATTGTCACAGTCTTCATCATATGAATTCATCAAAGTTACATAGAAATAGCCACAACATTAGTCGATATATATAGCTTATATATACCAGCCATAAATGTAATATTCTGACGATTTATTTTTGTAGCTTCAAACTACTATGTCATATCTAGTTTTATCACATAACTGGCCTGTTGTGTCATGTCATGCAGCTATGTCATTAAATATTGTAAAACACGTTTAGTACCGATAACACTATTGTGACATTGTAATTAATAAAGATAGACCCTTCTGTGACGTCACTCTTTCCAGACCTCAGTAAACCATTTGGTTTTCTATAACATGATATTTCAACTTGGCATTTTGTGAATACTTGCTGATTACGAGACAAAGGCTAATGATGACGGTGGAGAATTTTGAAAATGAAGTAAATTTTATATGATTGGTATATCAAATAAGTGTAGAAAAACATGATTGTCACTCAGCAGATGTATAAACATAGATATCAGTATTATAAACTTCGCAGAAATGGATGTATATGTGACCCTGGTAGTAATAATAATATGATGACAAATATGTTTTGTGTGTTAATTGTGGTGTAAGTATATCTACTATTAAAATAAAAGTAATTAAATCAAATTTTATCACATAAAATCTGAAGAGATGGACTACCTCTAGTCCCAGCTTGGTGATATCACATGATTGTATCAGTACTTAAATAGGTACCATCTGCATTAAAATAAGCCTGTCTTAGAAGATAATCATTTGGGAGTTTATGCTTATTTTTGGGGAATATCGTTTTTATGATAAATAGAATCTACGTCTATGCCGATGTAATATGGAATTTATTAAAATTATTAAATAATTTGGTATGTCTCTCGCATAAAGGATAGAAGATATCAAATTATTGAACACATTTGATTAATTCCATATCACATTGACACTTACGTAAGATCCTCTACATATACTACTACAGTATAATTGGTATTCAATACCAATTGCAAGGCTTCCAGTCCAGTACGTAAATAGGATCTTTTTATCAACCTAAAGTTGAAAGTTGACAACAAGGCATAAGCTTAATCTGAAGGGTATTTCACCTATATAGCGAGCTGTTACAGGTCAATAGGTATGTAATCCTTGATCATCATAGTAGAAGTGCAAAGTTCCTGTATTTTATCTGTATCATATACAAGTTTGTACAGGGCATGGTACAAGTATTTGTCTTGTGTATAGCTGTTAATATAACAATTTTGTATCATCGTATATACTATTTGAATATTTTGTTACAATAGATTTTGAAAACATTAGTGATAGCAATGCAAAATATGTGATATACCATCCTCATCTTCCCCTCCCCCTAGAAATGAAATTAAAATTTGTCTAAAATAAGTTAAATGCTGTGTGATGTTGCTGGTACAGACAGGCATGTTGTTACAAGCAACTTATCACAATGTCATCGTTATCTCGAACAGAAACATGTACATGTGGAGGACATCATTACAGCAACTCAAGTAAATAGTAGTAACATACTTAAATCGGGCAATAACACCGAATTATTAGGATGTTTACGATAAACGTAATCAGTTTGTGTAATACTTATATCTTTATGGTATACCTTCTCCTCCATTTTGGACACAATGTCAGTATGAAACCATTGCTTTATGGGAGCTGTTCAAATGGAGATGAATGTTGACTATAAAAATCAAGTATTCAAGTAAAACTTGTATATTTACCGGTATGTGTTTTGTAATGTACTAATGTATTGTTTTCATGATAATTGATTCTCTGATTTGGGAACCATAAATTAAAGGTAAAATACTGTTTCCTTTGTGTTTTGATTATATATACATAAACATACCAGAAAAAATAATTGCAATGACAGCAATTAAAACCCATGCAACGCTGCCTTTTTTGGCCTGCTTTGTATCCAGACAATATTACCAGTAATATAATTGTTTGGGAGTGAAATATATAGGACTTATTAATTCATTAAAAGATTTTTATCGAAAAACTTGCATTCACCTAAAGTATAGAACAAACTTTATTTGTGACAGTCCAGACAGTGATTAAGCTAGGGTTACCTTACATACTTCAAATTTTTTGACATTGTTTTCATGTCATGTTTGTGAAACATGGAAAATGCTTTTGGGACAGGTTCTTTGTTGCTCTGTAATCTTCAGGAATCTGTCATAAAACATATCCAGAATGATTAAATAGATAATGAATGTTAACAGGGAAATAGCAAGATACAGTGTGAAATTGTATGAGAATTTCATTGAATAGAAAAAGAAAAATAGACTGACGGGAATGTTTAAAAATGATAGTTTGTGCTATTTGAATGATATGGAGGATGAGATAAAATAATGAAGTATTTATTGATAATAACTATACTATTGAGAAACCACTACAATAACAGTTCTCTTTAGAACACTTGTCTTGATATTATGTGTGTTTGTGAAATGTATGCTGGTGCAGGCCAAGGTCACCCTGTCATTATGTCAACTTCCCTTCCCAAGGGGAGAGACGGTGCATGGTACTCAGATACTAGCAAAGTATTAGTGTCTTAAGTGGACAAGGATTGAATGTTATACACAGTGAATTTGGAAAAGAGAGTCAAGGTTCATATTGCATTTAGTCTTTGTATGAGTGAGAAGACTTTAGAAGCCTTGATATGTTCCAGGTACACTGTAGGTTTTTACCTTTGTGTAAATACAGACTAGTAGGATAGTGATGACTAATTATAACACTTGGCAAGAGGAACCACACCTATCACTTCTTATGAAAAGATTTTTTTTCACTATAAGGTGTAATGATTTATTTTTTTACATTTTAACTAAACTCAAATTGTTGACGATGTCCCAGCAATGACTTGATATTTAGGCAAAATGACCTATAGATGTTTTGTCTCCTAGTTTTCACAATCTTTGCTAGGGTGTGATTTTATAGGAGAAGTGTTACTGTTGACTTCCATTACCTATGTAGGAAGCTAATTTCACCATGTGTACTGTTTGTGTTAATGTGTATATTAGCATAGGTCATAGAGTGGATTCACTCTGGAGTATTTATGACAGTTTATGATGATATAAGTGTACTTAATTATAAGGTGTAAACTCGTTTATTTCAGATTACGTAGTAACCATAAGGAGATTGTGTGATAAAAGTCCCGAGGGATTCCTTTATCATCAGGTAAGTTTAATTATCTAACATTTAGATACAACATCTGAGAATACATTGTGGATTTAAGTTTGTGAAAAAAAAACAAAAACAATGTGCTGCTGATTGAACCCAGAATTTCTAGCTTATCATTAATAGTTGAGCAGTGAGCATTTTTTTCCCTGTGACGTTTTGAAAATTCATTGTGGATGCTTGAACATGATAATCAGAAATACATATAATGTCAGGGCAAAAAGGAACTAGAAAAAAACAAACTATGTGACAATGCTTTAATGACTTGCTATATGCCTTCATACTGTCTCCAGTACCACTGCACAATATTACCACACAAGGGCTAGGTGCTTGGTTTAGGGGATGTCTGTTTGTAAAATGGGTCAATGTATATTATACATGTAGTGTATGGTGACTTGATTTCATGGTTGAGTTAACAGTAGGTCAATATATATTCATTCACTTGTATACAAGAAAACTGATATAATAAAGCAAAAAGGAATGCTACACTACAGGGATGTTTTGTTGAATATGTCTACATGATTCAGCTGCTATGCCGCCATCATCAGGACATTAAGAAAACTTATAGAAACTCTGGAGCATGTAATGTACATTAAGTTGATGTTGTCACTACACAATATGTTACCTCTACTGTATGTTTGGTTGACTACAGGTATATACTATATGAGCTAAGGCTACACAGGAAGGTAGGACTGATTGAACAGGAGATATGACATATAGCCTGCAGGTCACCAGCAACTGCCCAATCCTCTTTGACCCTGTAGACACATTAGAATCTTTTACCACTTCATGTGTATATTTTGTAAACTACCAAATGTGACAGAAAAGGGAAAATGCTGTTATGAAACTGGGATTTGTACCTAGAACTACTGATCTCTGACAGATATTCTAACCAGCTATTCTTGTCACAATGAAATATAAGTGCCCTTGTTCAGTTCTACTCTATATATTTAGGGATTGACTTTTTGGGAAATAAAGGCTGTGGAAGAGATATTGGTAGTGTAATATCAAGGAATTTATAATGAAGTGATAATTTAAGCTGTCATAATGTCATTGTGACTAAGGTCAAAGGTAAGTAGCTGTAATGTCATGCAGCTGTCACAACATTGGGAGTGATCACATGAGCTGTTAGGGTTTTAGGAAAAGTTCACAAGTTAAAGGATTATAGTTGTCATGATGATATAGATATAATGACGTCACGATTAAGCTGAAATGTATTGCTATATGACTGACAATGTACACATATACTACCTGTAGAAGTTATAGATAAAGCACTGGATGTAGAAATCAGCCAGTGGCTCAGACCTTATTGTAAAATTAAAATTAAGTTATCTCAACCCGGCTATATATATCTATTGATCCCATAAGTGTGTCATTATCAGGCTTATAAGACAAGTATACCAACAGGTGTAGGATGGACAGACTCATTGACTTTTGAAGTTGATGAGCACGAGACAAAAAAAAATTGATATGGTGACGTCTATGAAATAAAGGTGAGCATATGATAACATCATACATGCTTTTTTTCTGGGAGCTCTGGAGAGGTGGGGAGGGAGGCCAAGTGGGCTTCATTCCCTATTGGATTTGATATGCTCCCCAAAGGAAAAGCATATTGTCTGGAGCATAACACAAAAACTATAAGAGGTATCAACATCAAACTTTGTAGCTAGATAAATCTCAACAAGGAAAAGTGCAGTGCACCAGAACCATCACTCTCTTTTGCATAATCTATGAGTTATTGCCTTTTATTATTTTAAATACTTAGATTTTGTCTGAAGCATTATACTAACACTAAAAGATATACAAACATGAAACGTCACAGGTAGATAGATCTCAGCAAGAAGTGCAGGACACAAGAACCATCACTCTTTTTTGTTATTTTTCATACCTAAATTTTGTCTGGAGCATTACACTGGAACTATGAGAGGTATCAACATGAAAGTTCATAGGAAGTTAGCTCTCAGCAAGTAGGAGGGTATTGCACAACAGTCACACTTTTCTTATTGCCATTTGTTATTTTTCATACTTAAATTTTGTCCCATTTGGGGAATATGACCCATCTCTGACAACCCTTGTTTCCGAAAATGAATAAATCCTTAAGATTCCTTCCCAATTGATATATTTTCTACCCCCAATGTTACAAGCAGACTCTATTTCAAATAACTGGGGAAAATCTCTGTTCTAAAATAATGTTCATTTGGTATGTCCCCAACCATATAAATATGGTAGCAGGAGGTTTGTACAGAAAAACATTTTCAGAGAAAGTTACCTCAGGATACCTCAGATGAAAAAGTCTCCACAAATCTTTCTGAAATTTATTACTCAGGCTGTGACATATTTTTATCATCAGAGCATGTCACCTTTGAGATCTTTGTATTGTTTGTCATGAAACTTCTTTTTGTAAAACTTCTAAGTTATAATAATATTTTCAAAAATTTAGACATTTATGATTTGTACATCATATGTGTATGGTTCCTCCTCCTATTGTCAATACCGCAGGGACAGGCAGCAGGGTGGGAAGTGGGATGTTAATATTTACTTCCTTATAGAGAGAGCTTTAAATATGAAACACACAGTAATAAAATAATCCTACAATACAGAAATAGAATTTTATCAGAACCTGAAAAAAGTATTGATTTCTTTTCTTGTCTTTCCAGTGATATAAATTGAATCTGAAAGGCAATACAGCTATAATTGTCTACAAGACAGATTAGAGATGTCGGGTACAACAGAGCCTGTACCTGAGGCCCAGCCAGTTTCTGAGGTGGGTAGTGAACCATCATCTCCTTCCAGCACTGCCACTAGTACCACATCTTCTACACCATCGACAGCCCCAAAGCAACCACAACCTGTAAGGAAGCAAGTGAAAAAGAAAGGTACGTCTCCCCTCTACAACACTAAAAGAACCTGCCAGGAAAGAGGCAAAAATGTCTTCTCTGATCTATATCCCCAGAACAACTCAAACTTATCAGGTAAAAAGGAAAGGTTTGTTTCCCTTCCACAGCCTCAAATCAGCAACTGCCTGTAATTAGAGAAACAGGCAAGGTATGGGTCCGGTTGATAGTTGCAGAAATGTCCTGTCAGAAAGGAGGTTAACTGATAATGGAAACATTTCCCAACATAACCCAAAACATATAACAACCAGTAAGGATAAGGGTAAAAAAGGCTAATACCACAGCAACCTGTCAGGACAGGTAAAATGAAAGTTTAGTTTCTTATCCATAACACTAATAGTCTGAATAGCCATGACAGAGGAAATAAAAATGTATATCATTTCCAAAACCCCCAAAGGAGAAGTCTAAAAACTTGTAACGAGGTTGAAATGACAATTATCTCATACATAACGTCTTGCTGCAAGAATATATCCCGATATATATAAAATATATTTAGCTTGCTTAAATGTATGCAGAAAGTTAAAATATTCTCTCCGTTTAAAGATTCTACAAATAAGATTTTATTTTGTATATATTGTGTAGACAAGAATGATCCCACAAGATTTCAAGGTGAGGGTGTGAACTTCAATGCCAAGTTGATAGGCGTGGATGATGTCCCTGATGCCCGAGGTGACAGAATGTGCCAGGAGACAATCTACAGACTCAAGCTCTCGGTAAAGGCATCTGGACAACATAAGCAGAGGATCATTGTTAATGTGTCTGAGGAGGGCATCAAACTCATTGACCTTAAGACTGCTGTATGTATTTCTGTCTGCTCTTGATAATCTCCTAGCCATGTTAGGAGACCAATCTACTTGTCAGTTGATCAGTTGGTTAGTCAGTCTGTGCATCATTTCATGGATGCTATATCTCCTGTATTTTGTTAGCTACAATTATCAGATTATGTGTAAGGATTACTTTCTGGGTTGGTGCTTACTGAAGTCCAATCTGTTGCACCACTATAGAAAGTTACAGACCTTTGTCCATTTATCTTATCAAAGTTTGTCTAGTGACCTGTATGTGTACTGGGTAACTGATTATGAATTATATATGCATATCCCTCACATGTATACATGTATAAAAAGTATTGTTTAGTAGAAAAAAAATTTGTAGGAAGATTGTGGAGACAGTAAATTTAATATGTCACTCATCATTTATCCTCATCATTGATAAAAACATTCTTCAGGCTTGAAGACAACACCAGATCACTGGTGTAAAATTTATATGGATTGTACTGCTTAAAGGATATTGATTTTAACAGTTTGTTAACAGTAAAATTGAGTGAATGAGTAACTTAATCATTAATCATTCCCTTTATCCTACGATCCTTTACAGGTAGTGAACTACACACATGCTGTCCACAAAATATCCTTTATATCCAGGGATGTCACAGATAGCCGTGCCTTTGGTTATATCTTTGGAGTAGGAGATGGAACACACAAATTCTTCGGAATCAAGACCGAGAAAGCTGTATGTTAATTGAACAAGATAAATCTTGTCTTAATTACACCCGTCTGTCATTGAAAATATTGTAAAGAGATACTATAGAATTACTACAAATGTGACTTTGGCATGTGCCGTATTATATTAGTAATCGTTTTAAGTTTTATATATATATATATATATATATATATACTTTATGTCCTGGCATCAAAATTCGTTATTCCTGTGCAGTGAAGTTTAGAGGGTTGTTGTAAATTGATATCACCCTTTTCCTATGTTCACATCATTTGAGGCTTTAATTGATTGTTATAATAAGCAGCTCTCTAGAGTATCCCTTTGAAGACCGTTTTAATCTGGCGCATGTCCAAATGTAGGGCCTGTTACTGTAGAAGTGCTATGCATTGTTGTTAGGCAGAGGCTGTGTTGCTATGAATAACATGTATGTTAGGCACAGTCTCTTTTCCTGTTATCTTTTTGCTGTAACTGGCATTTCATTTTTAGGCTGAAGCCTTGGTTCTAACTCTCAGGGACCTTTTCCAAGTTGTCTATGAAAAAAAGAAAAAAGAAATGGAGGAGGCCAAACAGAAGGCAGAGGAAGAAGAAGAACAGACTAAGATTGACACCAAACCAGCAGATGATCCCAATGGTATATTCTGAAGTTATAAGGCCAACTTAAAGTTATTACTAAGAATTCATAGATCATAATGAGCATTTTAAAAAATATTTTGTGTTTCCAGATTTTTATGCTCCCCAAACATTTTAGGGGGAGCATGTATATTTGCCACTCTGTCTGTCTGTTTGTCAGTTTGTCTGTCTTTCTGTCCATGCTTTCATGCCTGAAGGATAAGGAAACTTGGTCAATACTAGTACAATCATCATCTCTTTCTCTTGGTTTATGTTGACTGACTGACCTGCTTGTTTTCTATTTGATGTCTGGCCTTGGTATCCCTAGTCCAGATAATTTGATATAGGAAACATTAAAGGATTTTTAGAGGAATTCACCTTTTATATGTAAATCTTGTTCACATTACAAATATTTTGTTTAAAATCTTAGAGAATGAAGCAGGAACAAAATGCTCCTACTAAGGATTTTGTTTTCCTGTTTACAGAGGATTTTTTTTATACTAGTTAGGTGTCTTTTATTCATCTAAAATATTCCTATAAAGGGTTTAAGTAAATTAGAAGAAGATAAAAATAAACCTCGTATATATTCTGCAAATAGATTACTATGAAAAAATTACATCCAGAAAAAACATAAGGAGTCTAGCTTGTGACCAAATACCAATTCAAATCTAAGTTAAAGATTGAAGTTGCTTTTGTGAACTCCATATTGGTACATTGTGCCATCATCAATGGTCAGATAAATATGTGTTGATATTATTGATTTATCCGATTGTGACATGGTTAGGTTGCATCAAATGATGATATGACCCTGTTGTTTTTGGCATATATCATGTGAAAACTATCTTTTAAGTACCCTGCATAGGTTGTAAATATCCTTTCCTTAGGAAAAATGAATCGCCCTATGAATTTTGTGAGAAAATGTTATTGTAATTCTAGATCTGATGTAGGAGAAATGTATTAATGATTTGGAATTGTTTTATGATGGCTTAAGAAAAAAGAATAATGACAGTATTTTTTCACAGTTATCAAGCTTGGAGGAGAACTTGGTGCAGAATCTTCTACGGATGACGAGCCAGTATACCAGGTAAGGGCCTATGGAAATGGGGGAGAGAAAATTGATTCAGTCCTCAGAAAGTTTCAATGACTGTTTTACAGATTAAGGTCAAATCTACAGCTCCAAATATTTTCATAATGGGTGAACAAATCAGAAAAAGAATAAAAAATGGAATACTTTTGTCCCTTTTAATGGTGAAGACCTAATTTTGTTGGAGCTTTAGATTGAGAAGATCTTCAAAAACTTGAATGGATACTTAATTATATGCATTCCTGTCTATAAAACTTTAAGGAAAAAGTAATGTTTAAGATGGTCCCTAAAGACAATCCAATTACTCTTCCAGCGGTGTATTAAAGTACAAATCTATACAGTTCTGGCAAGTAGATGTCATGTTTGATTATGATGAAGTCTCCAGATTGGCATCAAAAATGAATGAAATTTATGTTCAGACTTGTTGATGAATGCTTTAAAAGTTCTACACCTGATGGGACTATAGGTAGCCAAGTTAAATACCATTAAGATGCAGGCTATTTATTAATTTATACATCCTTTATAACATTTACCACCTCTCTTAAATGTTTCTATGATTAAAATGTAATAACAACACACCAATTGTTACTGCATTTCTGTCCAATGTCATCAAATTATTTGGGGCAAAGAGAAATTTCTGGTACCAACCTGCATGTATCCAGAATGTTGCTAAAAATATATGATGCTAGTAAAGGAATGACTTAATTATGAACTCAAATCTAATTGATGATTGTAGTATAGATATTCAATTTTATAAATAAGTATTCAACTAATGATGTGCATGCAACCAGGTGCCAACCAATGGAGCACCCATAGAGGATAGTCCAGAACACATTTATGCCGTAAGTTCTCAACACTGTGCTCTTGGTGTGTGTAGTTCTTGTGCTTCTGACTACTATTAGCCAGCTAATGCTTTCTTATTGTTGTTTATTTGCAAGTCTGTTGGATAGTGTTATAACTAAATCCTTCCTCCTTGTCATAGTAAATATATCATCAAACACCTAATTTACTGGGTTAAAACGCCTTGATATATCTTATGGACAACTGTGACAGATCTTTCCTATATTTGTACCAACAAGCTCACAAATATTTCTTTTTTGAAAATGTTCTTTTTTGGACTAGGTGAGCTTAAGATATGGTGCAGTGTCAATTGTCTGTCCAGTGTCCTGTGTTCAGCATCTGTCAACTTTTTACTAAAAATTGATACTAGTCATGGACAACTGAACAGATTTTGACAAAATTTGGTCAGAAGCATCTTTTGGGAAACAGGAACCAAGTTTATAAAATATTGGCTATTGGCCCCAGAGGCTGGTCCCAAAATTTGAAATTTTGAAGGTTTTTTAAAATCCTACTCCTGCTTTAGGAATGAACGGATTTTGCTCAGATTTGGTCTGAAGCAATCTTTGGTGAGGGGGAATCAATCCTGTATAGTCATAAGGTCTCGGCCCCTAGGGGCTGGACCCAATACGGAAATAGAATAAATTCTTTAAAATCCTATCCTCCTGTAAGAATGAATGAATTTTGTACAATTTGGTCTGAAGCATCCTAGGGGAAAGAGGGAACCAATCTTGTAAATACATAAGGCCTCTGCCCGTAAGATGGGATGGGCAGGACCCGATAGGGGAAATAGAATATATTCTTTAAAATATCACTCCTCTTGTAGGAATGAATGGATACTGCCCAAGTTCAGTCTGAAGTATTCTTGGATGAAGGGCAATCATTTTTGTATAAACAGTGGATTCTGGCCCTCAGGGACAGGAGGGATGGGCCCAATTGGGGATATTTAAGTTTTTAAAATCCTTCTTTTGCACCTTTGATACAAAGGAAATTTACTGTTTGATGTATTGTAAAATGATGATAAATTTATATTCATAACATTCCATGGTCCTTATTAATAAAACTTAACTGCAGTCATGTAAGAAATAATCCAGCTGACCTTGCTAATACTTACTAACATATCGGTTATCCTCAGCTAAGTGATATACTATCCTGTCCTGTTTGCAGGTCAATACCTACAATATGAAAACAATAAGCGATGCTTGGTGATAAGCCCATGCATGCACCCACATCTATAACAATTTCAGAAGATTTCACACCTTACCTTTTCTGAGCACACCGTGTGAAAACAACATTGTTTTCTGATCCGCAGACAAATGATTTGACCCAGCCAAGTTCCTATGCCAGTGTAAAATTTATTCTCCAGTAATATTCTTTTTGAGGGAATTTTCTTTAGACTTTTTCCCCCAAAAAAACACTGGTGTATTGTGCACAATAGGCGACCATGTGCAATCTATAGTTCATTATAATAAACCTACTTTTATTTTATGTGGTTGCCCCATTCACTTATGATAATCATACAATGAAGTACATTGTATAAGTAAATATATATATATATATATCCATTTCTTTTTCCCATCTAAATAAGAAAGTTTACATCTGCTCCACTGCTTCAGTGACATTGTATATTATTTGCAGTGGTCTGCATGTACTTCGCTTCAATTCTAGCTGAATATTTGTTCTTTATTTACTAAAATCTTCACATGTACATACTTACATTTAAACATCAGCATTGAGTAATTAAGTAAAGAAATATGTGGTAAAAGTTGTTAGCAGCATATTGAGATGGTTGGTAGAGTACTAGATCATACACATGTTGTCAAAGGGTTTAGATACGTACACTACTACAGTGCTAACTACTGAAGTTAGTAAATTAGACTGAAATGAGGACCAATGTATACTACCAGGCACTGCTACTAAGGCACGTATGTACTACCAGAAGTAAGACAGATCGATAATACTGATATAGGTATACAGAAAAACACATTTATAACGAAGCTCTTACGTTAATAATGAATCTCTGAGGACCAAGATAAACAGTTTATTTTCATTATTAGAAAACAAAGAAGACAAAAGTTTGTGTTCATCAATAGCAGCATTTCCCCCACATATGGAATGACACACAATGTTATGTCTTGTTTGAGAATGTTCCAAACAGCCAGTGTTAAATTTAAAGTCATTGTCTCCAAGTGTGTTTTCTGAATTTGTCAGATTTGGAAATAAAATGGGCCCAGATAACAGATTCCTTCTTTCTATAAACCCATGATATAGAGCCCTGACAGCAGTTTCATACGTAGCTCCCCGTTGTCGTTTCCTGCTCAGCAATAGGGCCAAATACTGCTTCAGAATTTCAGTGCTATTTTTCAAAATTGTACCAAGTGTTGATGTGAGGATTTCAAACTTAGCTGCAGTTTCCTTTTTTGGTATGGTCCTATTGTAAACTTCGTTGATAATTGATACTTAGTTTCAAGAGTAAATCCTTTCTCTGATAACGAGATGGAGACAATGAAGTCATTTCCAAACAACAACTCAACTAATATGTGTTGGTTTATCATTTGATAAAAAGAGTTCAGCAAACTCTAAATACTGCAGAACACCTGTGTGTATAACAACAATTAACTCTTTATAATTACCTGTGTTTGGCACTTACCTAGACACGAGTATCAATTGTTGTATACATATGCTTATGTATGAGACATGCTTTTATGTGTTGGAGTGCTGATATGACTGTGGCGTGACAACGGTCCAAGAGCCACTACGTTATATGGTCACAAGTTAGCATTGATATTTACCTGAACGGATCTAGAAGCTGCTGCGTTATAGACATTAATTCGCTATTTAAAATCTGTTATATGTTTGGAAATTTGCATACAAATGATAGGGTGGAATAAACAACACTACGTTATAGCTATAAAGTCGTCATAAGCGTGTTTGTTATAAATGTGTTTTACAATATATTTTAGAATTAGAACTGGTATATACTCTCAGAAGTAGGATAGATGGATACTGCCTGTACAAGTGAACAATGTAGTACATTTTAGGGCCATATTGTACAAGGTCAGGCACATTAATGTTTTACAGGTGCATTTAGTAGTGCTTGGGTGTGATATATACTTCTATATGTACTATAATATTATTGATTCTAGAACAGGTTTTTGCTTTTAGATCTGGAACAGATCATCTAGAACACTAATTATATATATAGATATATAGATGCAGCATAGTTAATTGATTACTTGGTATGTTCTGTTACAGGTGCCATCGAACAATGGTGAGGTCAAGATTGACAAGTCAGGAAATAGCCTAGTGGAGTTGGAGACAGAACTGGAGACAATTGGACAGGTCTGTAGAATTGGTTGTGTAGTGATTCTAAGTGTCCTTATACCACTGTTGGAGACATCAATGTCAATATTGTGTTTATACATTTATAGAGCCGAATTAAAGCAGGAAATTATACATTTATAGAGCCGAATTAAAGCAGGAAATTATACATTTATAGAGCCGAATTAAAGCCGGAAATAAGCCAAAAATAACGTCTGCAATAGACTGTTAAGTAGGGAGATGGGTTTAAGCAAAACCGAGTAATAAATTACTCAGCTACAAGGAAGATAATACTACAAATAAAAAGGAAAGCACTCAGCTCAGAGTAGCACGTCCGCCCGCTCCGGGAGCCGTAAAGGAAAGAGGAAGGGAGATCACTCTATGTTCCTGCAGTGAAGGCTCATGGATGGTAGGGAGGGCAGGATTTTTGAATCTTTTGTTTTTGGGATACAAAGATTGGTGTAGGTACCATATTTGCATACTAAAGTTATGGTAATTATTACTGAAATGAAACTGTGTTTATACGTTTATAGGGTATAGAGCAGATGAACAAGTTTGAGACTGACTTTGACGCCCTAGCAGCAGGAACTCCATCTGCTGTTTCACCAGCAGCAAGTACAGGTAGTGATCCCTGGGGAACTGGTTCAACCTCTCAAGCTGATCAAAAGTCTGCTGATAATTCCTTGTTTGATAATGATTTTGGATCAACCACCAATGGTTCTGCCCAGAGTGGTCAGTCAGATCTCCAAGATATTGACCTGTTTGGGACACAGCCAGTCATTAAAGGCAAAGATGACATCATGAATCTTTTTGGACCCCAGAACTCACAGATGCCAGGAGGGTTTCCTCCTCAAAACCCGCAAATACCTGGAGGGTTTCCTCCTCAAAACCCACAAATACCTGGAGGGTTTCCTCCTCAAAATCCGCAAATGCCTGGAGGATTTGGACCCTCAGTGTCACCAGTACCCCAAGCATTTGGAGTGTCCACAGGTTTGCAGCCTGCAGCTTTTCCTGGAGCTCCTGTGGCTGGAGTTCCACCTCAACCAGGCATGCCAAACCCATTTGGAGGGCCTCCTGCATTTGGAACACCTCAGGTAATTGGATAATGGTAATTTATAAACCTGTGACTGCCCAAGTTATTTTCTCTTGAAGATATTTGGTAAAATAGCATGAAATAATTCAAGTTCTTCGATGCAACAAGTTATTAGTCATGACATCATGTGGAAACTCATGTCTACAATCAGCTTTGTTTTACACTGTATTTATTAGGAAAACTCAACTGTCACAATTGTTGATAGAAATGCAGAAGAGGTAACATTTTGCTGTTTTAGCATGACATTTTGTCTAGCCTGTTGTGTCCTGTGTTATATCTAAATTGATAGAGCTCCCTGTAAATATTTTCCTGTCTGTCTGATGTTTACTGTGTGTCATCTACATTGATCTAACTTGCTGTAAGTATTTGCCTGTCTGTCTGATGTTTACTGTGTGATATCAAAATTGATAGAGATCCCTGTAAGTATTTTCCTGTCTTTCTGATGTTTACTGTGTGTCATCTACATTGATCTAACTCGCTGTAAGTATTTGCCTGTCTGTCTGATGTTTACTGTGTGTCATCTACATTGATAGAGATCCCTGTAAATATTTTCCTGTCTGTCTGATGTTTACTGTGTGATATCAAAATTGATAGAGATCCCTGTAAGTATTTTCCTGTCTGTCTGATGTTTACTGTGTGTCATCTACATTGATCTAACTCGCTGTAAATATTTGCCTGTCTGTCTGATGTTGACTGTGTGTCATCTACATTGATAGAGATCCCTGTAAATATTTTCCTGTCTGTCTGATGTTTACTGTGTGTCATCTACATTGATAGAGATCCCTGTAAATATTTTCCTGTCTGTCTGATGTTTACTGTGTGACATCTACATTGATAGAGCTCCCTGTAAATATTTTCCTGTCTGTCTGATGTTTACTGTGTGTCATCTACATTGATCTAACTCCCTGTAAATATTTTCCTGTCTGTCTGATGTTTACTGTGTGATATCAAAATTGATAGAGATCCCTGTAAGTATTTTCCTGTCTGTCTGATGTTTACTGTCATCTACATTGATCTAACTCCCTGTAAATATTTTCCTGTCTGTCTGATGTTTACTGTGTGATATCTAGATTGATTTAACTCCCTGTAAATATTTTCCTGTCTGTCTAATGTTTACTGTGTGATATCTAGATTGATTTAACTCCCTGTAAGTATTTTCCTGTCTGTCTGATGTTTACTGTGTGACATCTACATTGATAGAGCTCCCTGTACACTTTAAATATTTTTCTGTCAGTGTGATGTACACAGTGTGACATCTGCATTGATTTCACTCCTTGTAAATATTTTTCTGTCAGTGTGATGTACACAGTGTGACATCTGCATTGATTTCACTTCTTGTAAATGTTTTCCTGTCAGTTTGATGTTTACTGTGTGATATCTCTTATAGATCTAACTCTGTCAACATTTTAATGTGTTAAAACTACCTGTAAACTCTCCCTGTTTGTTTTTTTTGCTTTGCAAGGATACTCAGTCCAAGATCTTGCACATTGTAGTTTACCATTGATATAACCATATAATTGTAAACTCTCTTCAGAATACTGTTGAAAAAAAAGAAACCCAGATGTATTATTATTGACTTATTTTAGGTTTAATTCTCTGTAACACACTTGCAGTCATGTACTCTGTCATTGCAGTTCTCACCTCCACCACCAGTTCCTCAGAGGCCTTCTGCTGCTCCTGCCCCTGCCATTAACCCATTTGGTGAGGATCCATTTGCCAATGCAGCACCTACAGGAGGGTTTGCCAACTTCTCTAATGGAAACACTGCAGGTGGGGCTTTGTTTGATGAACCACTGCTGGCCCCTGTCAAGTTGACAGTGGAGGAGGCACCCCAAGTGGAGAACAAAGCTGGTACAGGTGATGCCTTCAGTGACCTCTGTGAATTAGGGACCAAGGATAAAACAGCCCTCAGCCCAAAAGGCTTGTTTGCAGAGTTGAGTGCTCAGCCAAAGAAAAGTATCAACCAGTTAAGAACTGAACAAGTGCCAAAGGGGCCACAGGCAAGTGACAGTGACCCATTTGGGTCTGTAGACAATGCATCCCTTCCTGCAGTGGTAAACTTTTCCTCCCCATTTCAAACAAAAACTTCCGATCCTTTCGATACATCACATATCAAGCCTGCTATTTCCAGTCAATCCAAGCCAGAATCCTTCCACAATGTGCCATGTTCTTCCAAGTCTAAATTTAAAGATTTGGCTTTTTCAGAAAATGATGACTTTAACCTTCCATCACCGGAAGGGCCACCACCCCCTTTACCTTCAATGGCAACACCTCGTGACATGCCTCAGATTATTCCCCCTGCTCCACCACCCCGACCCAGTGGCAGCCCAGCTGCAAATTCCACTCACTCCACTCTTCCACAGCCTGACTCTCCCCCCAGACTGCCTCCTCGTAATTCAGTGTCAAACCTACAACATACTCCAGTGCCGCGACCTCGGCCAAGGCCAAAGGTCAACAGTGTGAACAACTCCCCACCACTGCCACCTCGAAACAAAACTATTTCCACAAAAGATTCAAATGGACAAGAATCTCATATTGCCAAAAATAATGTGGATAAAGAATCTCATGGAAATGGATCAACAAGCTCTGACAATGTGATAAAAAATGTGCCTGTGGTGGACAGATTTGTGATTGAGGATCCCTTCCTCAACTCGGACCCTTTTGCAGAAACGGATGTATTTTCATCTTCATCATTTGATGGATTTCCAAGTTCTCTCAGTATAGATGATTTTAATTCCAATGATCCTTTCATGTCTAGTCAACAAAATACAAATAACAACAGGGACAAATATCTGGACTCAAAAGATGATCCTTTTGCAGTGTTTGATAATTGTTTGAATGACACTTTCAATTTCAAAAGTGGAAATTCTAGGAAAAATTCCAAGAAAAAGCGGAATAGTACTGGAGTGAGTATGAAAATAAATGAGAATAGCTGTTGTTGGTTGTTTTGGCTGTTACTAACTGCATCCTAACAAGAAATCACGGCAGAGCATGATGGTCTTAATTCTCAGCAGTATAGTGTGGGTGTGTATTGACGTCACTCGTCGACATATGTGGACTTGTAGATTTATAGCTTACTAATGCTTCACTCCTTCATCTATGTATTTACCTGTATGCCTGTAAAGCACTGTGTTTAATCACTTAACATTATTTCCAAACTTTTCACATCAGATTCTGACATTTATAATGGACTTGGATGGTAGCTTTGTTAGATTTTTTCATTAATCTTTATGTACATTTGGAATTTTCAAAAGAGTATTTAATTTTGTTGTGAAATAGGTCACTGTAATTTACACAGATTGGTGATCTTTCTGATGCTCAAATTTGGATTATTATTCTATTGGTGTAAGTGATAGACATCTGATGCCTTTGTTAGATAGGGCTTCACAAAGGAACATACAAGTTATGCTTTTTGAATGTCAGAAGCTGGTACATATCCCTTTCACTTGAACTAATTTTGCTTTCCATAATTTTTGCTTGCTTACATAAATTTGAGTTTTGTAGATTACAATCCCACATGATGACAAGTCAGCTGTTGGTAAGTTTCCAGAGAACATTAAGTCTTTAAAAAACAAAACAAAAAAAGTAGAAATTCCTATATTCATAAGAGTGCTTTAGCTATAGACAGAAGTTTTGTGGAAGATAGTTGTAGAAAATCTCTGAGTGAAAGAGATACATCTTAGAAAATTTAATGCTTTAGGGTTTAGGTGCCTTTAAATACAAAGATTTGCTATCACAAAATTATTTATAAGTCATAAGAAACTTACTCTTGTGGGCTATAATCAATGATAATATAACGATCATGTATAATTTTGAATTGCAGCTTTGCCTGTTGGGTTGAATTGAATGTTTTGGTGTGTTTCACATGTCTGGTCTGACCATCTGTATTCTGCCAGCTGCTTGGTCTGTCTTTACTTATTGCTCTACAGGGCTTTAGCTTTGCCTGTATGGTGTGACTTTGGCGTCCCTTTGTTGCTTAACGTCACCTTTGTCTGTCTGGTACAAAGATATTTTGCTTTTAATCCTTTATCTTTAAACTTAATAAATGCATTGTTTCAAGTTGTATCACCTTTTGTATTTTATATTTCAGTTTGATGATACAAGTCTTTTTGATGACTTCTTTGATAAACAACAGTTTAGTGAAGTAGGTTTTACGTAGCTTTTTATGGGCTAGGTGTAGTCAACCTTCTACGCAAGTGTAATGTCTGTCTTTCTTTTACCTTCTTTCTCAAACTTTTCCAGAGCAAGTATTCCTCAGCAATGTCTTTGGTTATGCTTTGTTTCTAATAGTTGATTAAGTAATATTAAAATTATGATCTGATAAAGCAATATTTTATAATGTTTTTCCTTCAATCTGATACTAGATACCTGTTGTAGAAGGAAAAGTATACTGCATGACCTACATTTATCAACCTTTCTTTTAACTCTGGACTGTATATTGATGGTTGTATTACTACCGATGAAGGGAAGGTGTGAACGTTTCAAGTACTGTATTACTGAACAAAGTATTGATAGTATTGTACTGAAGTACTTCACCAATCGAATTCCTTAAATTTATGCAACAAGCTCTCTGATTGGCAGAGCCAAGTCTAGATCGATTGTGGGTGGAGCCAGGTGAAAAAATACTGTGCAGACATCGGCATTTTACAAACACTCGACTGTCGCGAGAGGTTAATTGGAAGAGTCCAAGTCACAGGTGGCTTCAGATCAGACCTAATTGGGTAGTCCCATTTGTTTCGTTCTACACCCAATGATACCTTGCTTTTCCATCGATGGTACAACGAGAAAACGAAAGTTACTCAGTACTAAACTAATTTACGTACAAAATATATATCAACAGGTTAGATCACTGGGACCGGAGAATTCATAACATCTTAACAGTGAATATAGTCATATAGTCATTCTGTACTAGTTTTATTTATTTATTTGTTTTTTTGAAAGGGGGGGGGAAGGGTTGGCTCAAAATATTTCGGTTTAAGCCCAAGCTCTATTATATGTAACAAAGAATTACGATTTACCTGGGACCTCCTGATATATGCCGATAATTCATACTGCATTAAAAAGTAAAGGAATTCTGTGGTCCCATATATTTTTTATTTTATTTTTTATCTTTCCATCGAAAATTATACCACGGACTTATATACTATATAAGATTATACATATCCGCAACATGTGAAAAAACTTTGAAGTTGGTGGGGCGGAATATCTAGAGCATTTACTACTGCAAGTTCCAGAAATTCTGACACAAGTCGGGTATTTGCCCGAAGCCTCTGTCTCATGACATTGAATACATATTCAGTTACGTTGTATCCCGGGGAATAAGGCGGCTGAAAAACCAGGGACACGCCATATTCTTTCAGCATATTTCTTAAAATGCGCTCTCCCTGTCTTTGGTGATGGAATCCACAATTATCCATCACAACCACATCGCCTTGTACAAAAACAGGATTCCCCATATCGTTCGTATCGGACATAATTTCGTCGAAGAAAATTTTGCGTACTGTTGCCGTCGTCGGACATTTTTCCAGCGATTACTTAGTAATTGTTATGTAACTGATAGTGTACATTAACTCCGCCTACCGGAACAAATTGGGTGTCAGATCAACTATTCAGGTTGTCTAAACTCCGCCCCCGACCAATCACAGAGGTCGTTGTATACTTGACTCGATTATTTGAATACTTCAATACAATAGTATCAATACTTTGTTCAATACTATAGTAAGTGTGTCGTTCACACCTTCCCTTCATCGGTAGTAATGATAATATAGGCTGTATGTCATCAGTCAGTGTTTTAAGTGTGGACAAGTGTATTTTGAAGTTGGAGTTATAACTGGGAGAAATTTGTCACATTGTATAATGTAGCTTGTACTTTTAAACTGTTTATAGTCTCTATAGTTGTAGGTACCAGTTAATTTTATTGGAATCTGCCTTTAGTAAACCCCCAAGCTTCCATGTAATACATCCTGAGCATCATTTACACTTGCTCTTAATAGTGATAATATTCTACCTAGTGTGAATTGACAAGGATTGGTAAATTTTCAAGGATGTGAAATTGTTATTTGTTTGGTGAATAATCGCTCTGACAAGGGGTATTTGTGTAGTGAATAATTACCCTGACAAAACCAAAGTCACTCTGACTAGGGGTATTATCTTGTGTTGGAAATAGTCACTCTGAATAGGGTTATCATTTTTGTGGGCAATAGTTATGCTAACAAAGGTATTACTTAATATTACTTTGTATAGTCTATAATCATATGTGTGACCAGAGTGATAAGACAAGAGGAGGACTAAGAACTGCATGTACTCACCTTAATTTTCTATGGAGTAGTTTATTTGCTGCTGTTAACTGCTTTCTGCTTTAATTATTAATTATTGAGACAGTCTTGAATATTGATGATCATGTTATTTGATATGAAAACAATCTGAATAATATTGAGATTACCACATAATGATACACTAAACTACAAAAACACATTTTAAAGTTATCCACTGAAAGTTACTCTCAGATTAACTGCATTGAAATTAAGCTCTAAGAATTTATTCTCACAGATCAATATTGGGATAATCCATGATCTAATACAGAGTTTCTATCGTATAGGACAATCTTGAATTATCATCGTCCTGAAATTGTATTATATATAAACTTTGAAATCATCTACAGTCTACAAGAGCTTGATAATCAACATTCAAATTATCCATTGGCTTAAAGAGTTTTACAAAGGGCAGGACTGTTTTAACCTTTTTTTTTGTATATGCACCATGTTTAATCGGAGCTTAACAATTCATATGCACTTATGTCTCTCATTGTGTCTGATTGATATTTATTATGTTGGAAACCATGTTAAAAATCAGATCTATTTATCCCTTATGTCAATTTCCCATTTCCCTCTCCTGTCAGAAAGAATGAACTTTCTGATATATTCAAGAACTTTTAAGCCACTCTTAAAGACCAACTCAAAATCGTAACCACCTTGCAATTTAAGGTGACTTCATTCCAGTTCTCCAAAATTTCCTCTTGTTCCTTTACACTGTATGTTTTGTTATTTTTAAAAGAATCCTTCAATATTGAGACCAATTTTTGGTCCAGTCCTATAGGTAGTCCTGATAGCAAGGTTACATGGTGTTAATTCTACAGACAGCTGTCGGACCTTTCGTCCTTAAAAACATATTATGCTGTAAGTCTTTAAGTGATTGTGATTAAATGGGAGCCAATTATTATAACACTGATCTCCTATTTCAGAATTAATGCAGTGATATGAGGTGACACGACCTTTATTGTGCACTGAGGTGAGACTACTGTTGGCTGTCGTTTTGTACTGTTAATTAATATGATGTTAGTTACATGTTGTCAGGTGCAGCTAACAATGCTTGGCTTTTACTTAAAAAAAAAACAACACATTGCTTGCTGGTTATCACATTTCTGCTTTATTTGTCACTGTTCAAGTTACATAAGATGAATGTTGGTCAGATCTAAAATCCTCCCTGATGAAATGATAATTTAATGTTGATATTACATGTTTTATAATATGTATGAACAACACACAACCAGTTGTCTTATTGGTCCATTTCTTTCCCTAGGAGCCGATCTATGCAGTAGTGAACAAGCCAAAGTCCTGAGGAGACACAAAGTGACCTGTTGAGCAAAAAGCAAACCAGTTGGACAGATTTATCTCCCTTTACCACAGACATGTATTGCAATGCATGCAGGACACTAATTCTGTGTTTTATTACACACCATACCTTTAAACTTTCATCTGCCTTCAATACTGACTGAATGTACTCATTTTATTTTTAGAAAATTTCATGACCAGATTCAATTGATTTTTTATTTACCTTTTGTTTTAATAGTGTTAAATGACACACAAAATGGAAAGGAATGGTTAATTTCAGACTGGACCAAGAACTATTACAATCAGCATCTTGTTTTGCATTGTAATTGCCTACATCACATCATTAATTTTTGTGTTGTTATGATATTTTCAAATATCTTAATTGAGTGTGTAAACCTGTAGACCAGGAGTAGAACACAAGTGATATATAGAATTTTAATTAAAATTGTTAATGATTTTGCTGGCACAGAACTATTTTGTATCTGATTACAATACAGAGTTTCTTGTAACTAGATATAAGGTAAAGTATGAGAAGATACACAACCATTTTGTATAGAGACGATACAAAACTGCTCTCACTACATTAGGTGAGAAATGATATAGGACTATTTTTTATCATATGGTTGAAATGGATGGTGTTGAAATGTGAGAAACTACTAATTGATTTTGTATTTGGATTGTGAAGGTGTTGGTTTTGTATTAGATTGTCAAGATTTGAGATGATAAAGAATGATTTTGTTCCTTATTGTTAAAATGTGATACTCATCAAGTGGAGGAACCTGCTGTGTACAACAAACCCAGCTGTCATGGTTATTAAAGTGGTCCTAAGTTTTCTTGATGTGAAGGTTTATAATTGCATATTTTTTGCTGAAATTTATATATTTTTGAAAAGATATGTAGTTCTAAGTGTTTAGTTAAGAGACGTTGGTTAGAATCCTTATGTGCCTATCATAAATTGTGGTGAAATTACAGGATCACATGGTCTTTCTGAGCAGGTAATGTACAGCAGTTGAATTAAAAGTTTTAAAAACAGGGAGATACTGTTAAATGAAGTATTAACTTTTCAGGGGCAGCCTGAAATGGGAACCATAATATAAAACAGAAAGGTTAATGATTATATACAAAGCAAAGTGATGTATTTAAGATAAAGGATGGAAAATTTGAAATTTCCATTTTGAAGTCTGCGGTGCTGTTTAATTGAGAGGTGCTAATGGATATTTAATTTTCACATTGTTACACATATTGCCTGATATGCTCACACATTGCGATTGATTAGACATATTGTTGTAGAGAGAAAGAAACAGGAGTGGTACAAGAATTTGTGATTGATTACACATTACTTTAGGGAGAGAGAAACTTGTGATTGTTAAGAAACATGGAGATGGAGAGACACATTGCTGCAGGGGAAAGAAACATGTTAAAATATGTGATTGTTAAGACACTTCGTGATAGATTAGACACATTGTTATAGAGAGAAACTTGTTAAGGAGAAAGACACATTCTATTGATAAGTGATGTTCTATAGGAAGAAAAAAATATGGTTGTTTCCACACATCATGATGGATTAGACACATTTTTATAGAGAGAAATAAAATTATGATTGTTAAGACACATCATGATGGATAAGACATATTGTTATAGAAAGAAAGAAAAATGTGATTGTTAAGACACATCATGATGGATTAGACACATTGTTATAGAGAGAGAAAAACATGATTGTTAAGACACATTGTGGTGAATTAGATGCATTGTTATAGAGAGAAAGAAAAATGTGATTGTAAAGACACATCATGTTGGATAAAACATGTTGTTGTTGGGAGAATGAGAATTATGAATATTATACTTTTGGTACATTGTCTGGAGAAAGAAACATTGATAAGACACAAGGTAAATGTTTTTGTAGGGAAGTGTTTTGAACAGTCATTCCTTTATCAAAGTATTAAGGTATATAGTCCTCTCCACTGCATGTTTCAGGATAGATTTGGAATAATATAGATATCTGCTGCAACTTTACAATAGCAGTTGGTTTTGTTATCAATAATTTAGTGATTCTCTTTAAAATAAAAGTGCTGTGTTCATTGGCAAATCCAACAAGTAATGCTGCCAATATCTTCTTACATGAATATATCTCTGAAATAAAGAAGTTATGGTGTACCATTAGATATCAATTCTAGATAAATATCGAGTAATTTGTATAACCTATGCATTATATCTGTTATGTCAGTATTCTATATGCTTGCAGTACTTGTCAACTGTGTGCTTACACTATTGTTAATATACTTTTATCATTGTTATATAGATTATTTTATAAATTACTTAATTTGAATGATTTTTTGTATCATTTTTTATGAGTGAAGGAATTTTAATATTAATTTGTATGTACACATACTATACAAGTTTAAATAATTACTTACGATTCCACAACTTGTTAAATTATATTATTTATCTCTATATTCCTATATTATTACTTTACAGTAATAATCAATCCTCATGATGCCATATTACTTGCAATTTGTTATCGAGAATATCTCTTGTTGATAGATTTTGTTTGGGCATCGTAGGAGAAAAATCATTTTAATATTGTAAATATGGTATTTATTATGCAAAAGCGTCTATATATTTGTTTTATATTCCCCATCTTTAATGCCTACACACATGCTTACATGCCAAACCAAGGGAGATTACTCTGTCCTAAACCTGTGCTTGGTGTCAATGATACTGTTATATATGTATAGATTATCGGTATTATTACAAAAGAAGAATTTACTTGTTTTTACCAAAAAACTTAAATTTGGAAAGTGCAATAAAATCAAAAATTAAAATTTCAAAAGAGTTTTGTTTTTTGTGTGGAATTGGTCTCCAATCAGCATTTCTATTGTGAACTCCTTATTACAAATAATTCCTCATCATAGAGTGATTCTCATCAGAACCTATGGATTTTTATTTTGAATCCAGGAGATGTTTCAGATTTGAGCATACCAAGAACATGTGATGCAAATTAAACAGATAAAAGTGGTAGCCAATGTCGTGAATTAGCAGTAAGCAACATTCATCAATTCATCAAGTTGTTTCATTGTTTATTGCAACACTAAGGCAATACATGTTTTTGTTCATGGAAGCAGGCAATTGTCACATTAACAGTTTTTGAAAAAAAAAACTTGCACCAACTTGACCAGTTACCTTCAATGTCTTTCTGTGTGAAGGTGTATACAAGTTGGATTCCGTATATTAGACACCTTATAACTGTGTATACATAGCAGGCCTTGTATCTGTCCCAATAGCACTTTGAATCATGAAAATTAGAACAGTATGACGGTACACCATTACAAATATTGTACATAACAAAGTAGTTTGATACTTACTTTGACAATAATTAATACAATAGTTGTGGACAATAACTCGTGCCATCGAAGTGCCTCATCTCCTCACAGTTACCAATTACTCTTATCTAACCGTGCTTCTAGGCTATAATTATTGCGGCCTAATTAGCATTGTCTGTCCTGATTAGAAAATTATAATTACATTTTATTTCGAGTACTTCTAAAAAACTGCAAAAAAAAAAAAAAAAAATACACATTGTCAAAATATGGTGGCAACAAGTCTCATAATTGATAGTGTCAAACTCGGAACGTATTCCCGATTTCCGACCTCCTAACTTCGTTTTCCCGTCCCTGCCCCACTCCTATCTCCCAGACTCCCGGTTCCCGCCCACTTATTCCTGGATTCCAGCATCCTCTATTTCAAAACTTCGCTATCTGCAGCTTGCAAATCGCTTGCATTTACTATTCATTTCGTATTTTGTATTTTCGATGGATTATGAACGCACGAGTAACACCAACACCTTTTAAAACACGTGATCACTGTCTACGTGAAAATGTGCGCACTATGAACGCAATTAAATATGATCGGTCAGCGTGATATATTGCACTGAAAGCACACTGTACATCAATAACAAATGATTAAGCAAGTTTGATGTAAGCAACCTCTGCAAACTTTTCACAATTTATAATTTTGTAAATAGTTCAGTTATGGAACTTATTTTTGTAAGCGTGCGAACTGCTGAGTGTAACCTAAATCAGGGGAGGTAACAAGAAATCTTTACGCGCATGCTCATTTCGTACCGGAACAGCCTTTGCCGCCAGTGCGCCTGCAACGCGTTATCTAAGCATCGCAGAAAGACTTTTACATCCTGAAGAACTGTATCAGAAACGCTTCATTGAGAACTCAATCACGAACATTAAGACAATATGGCAGACAATTGTAAATTATATGTCGGAAATATAAGTTTTAATTCATCAGAAGGCGATCTACGAGACCATTTCGAACAATACGGCAATGTTCTTGAATGCAACATTGTTTTGGATCGTGAGTCAGGTCGGTCAAGAGGGTTCGCGTTTATCACATTTAAGGATCCCTCAGAAGCAGGAAATACGATTACCATGGACCATGAATTGGACGGGCGCAGACTAAAGGTTTCGATAGCGGAGTCAAAACCTGGTGGCGGGAGAGTGAATTATGGTGGCGGCTACCAACAACGGTCGTCCAACTACCAACAACGGTCCAACTACGGAGGTGGTGATGGATTCCAAAGGCGTGGGTACGGAAGTGGTGACAGCTATGGTTCATCGGGTGGTTACGGAGGTAGTGGTGGCAGAAACTACGGAAGTGGTGGTGGTGGAAGACCATACGGAGGAGGAAACTACGGAGGAGGAGGAGGAAGAAACAACTACGATGGGGATAGTTATGGATCGAGTGGGAGATCTGGCTATGGAGGAGGAGGCGGAGGCAACGGCTCAAGAGGTGGTGGCTGGTAGGTGAATACAACACGTGTGTTATTGTTGTACTCGCTCTCATCTGACTCGATCACCAGCATCGCTCCTAATATCGTATATATGTATATATACATTCAGATGTTGGAGTTACAGACAGACATTGTAATAGTAACAGGCTTTCAGAACAGTTACACTTCATTTCTTGTATTGGAGCTACAAAGAGGAACTTTGACTATTAACACATCAGACCATGATTAATGTTGTTGCCACGAATTTCCCTTAATCATTAATAAAAAGGTTGTACAGATATTACTTTGCAATTGTTGTAGCTCATCAGACCACTTAGCCTGAGTTTGGAAGGCAAAATGTAATAATTAAATGTAGTCACAGACTATAAATGTGTTTTATTTTGAAAATTATTTTTATTTCCCCATCCATGATGATTGCAAGCTTTTTAATGTTTGGATGTCAGCCATGCATTGATAGCAATCACTTGCTAACATTGCCCAATTTCTTTTTTTATTATAGTTAAAACATGTAGTCAATTTACACCAAGATGATGAAAGTATAATCACCTCATGTTGTAGATAAGTGTATAGTGACAATCTGTGTTTCAGGCACTTCACATGAAAATGAATGACAGGTAATTTAAGACAAAGTAATATAACTGCCAGTTCTTTCTCTGTCCCTTTTCAGTTATTTGGTTGCAATCTTGTGTACCATCCATTTCTTATTTTCCTAAGTGTACATGATGATGTAATTACTACAAAATGCCATTATTGTATTGCATAACCATACTTCTTATATATCGTCGGGGAACCAAAGAGCTGATTACTCTTCAAATATTACTGTCTCCTCTTTATGGTAGATGTTTGTGATAAACTGCATATATAGTGTTATAAAAAAAAATTGATCGGAGATACAGTTGCATATTTTGTATACACCTTTCCTCCAAAATATGTATATTTAGAACATCTTTTCTAAATAATTTTTCTGAAAATGCTGACAATTGTTTTTATGAAATCAAAATTAATTTTGGTTTTTAGCTTTCATGATGCAAAGTGCTGGTGAGCTATTTTGTATGGCGTGGGGCAGCTTCTGTCGTCAACTTTTTATCCTAGCATCATCAGAATTTGCCTTTTGTCCGTAGTCACTCTCCATTTTTAGATCATTATAATTCTGTTGCTATTCCTTGAGAAAATTGATAAATATTTCCATTGACAGTTCCTTTTGGTACAGATCAGAACATTCTTTTATGATATCAAGTAATAGTGCATTGGCAACTGGATATCTAGGAAATTGCCATGTTTCATTTTGAAAGGGATTGAAATTTTAGGTAGAAAGCTGGAAATTTTGAGAATACTGCAGATATATATATTCACTTTTTAAAGTGCTAGAGCTGGATGTCAGTGGATGGATGTAGCACAAGATTTTGGTTTCCCAAACGTGGTCTTGCTGAAGTAGTTTTACCTATATCATCTGATTTTAGTCATTTCAGTTTGGTTTTGTCCATGTGAATATGAAAAAAAACATGCTTAACCCATTTTGACACAAGAACCATGCAATAATCGACCGAACTTGTTTTGGCCATATGCATGTGATAGACTAGATTTTTTAAAAACCAGAATGTTTGGACACAAAATAATGGTTCATAAGTGGCCTTTAAAGAAGAACTAGATTAGAATTGAAACATTTTATTTAGCTTCTTTTGAAACAGACAAGATATAAGAGTTTCATCATCCTAACATGCAGTAAATGATAATGCTAATTATACCGCATCAGAACAACTTATTTCAGGAGTCTTAATAGACATTCTGTCTACCCATATTGTTCATGCATATGTATATCCCACAGATTTCCAAGAACCTTCCTGTGTTGATAGTGTGAGCAGTTAGTAATTAACATATAGTTTGATTACAGACATCCATATGACGAGGATCAAATTTATTTTCATCAGGACATCATGACAGACGGAAGGTAGACATTATCACAAGACTTCCTAACAGGACACTTTATATGTACTTTAAATTCAAAATGATCAATTTGGTAAACTTATAAAATGGTGACATGAGAAATCCAAGATTAAGTAATTGATCAAGACTAACCTTTATTATTTTGTTAAGACTTTCCCTATGGGTGTAACATGTAATACAGCTTCTTTGTTTATTAAGACTGGTTTTCACAGAGACATCTGACAAACAGGTGCTTGAAAAAAAAGCAAAAGATCAATAATATTTTTTCATAAGATATATATTAAATGCAGTACAACACATCTTTATGAAATTTTATAACTAATTAGTATACAGTAAAATGCTTAGATAATGATGCGGTAGTTTCTGCCGTGGTATAGGAAAAGTAAGGAGCACAAAAAAATTGGTACGTTGCAGTTCAGTGACCGCACACTTGCTGGATCAGGTTACAGCCAATTCTTTAATTGGTTTCGGTAACTTTGATGTCGATGTCCTTTCAGGTACTAAGATCAACAAAGGGAATGGCAAGGCTTTGGATGCAAGCCCTGACCTAAGTGGCAAAAATATGGATGTGAGCCTAGGCCTACATGGTGATGGTGCTGATGTGATTCCTGACCTATCTGGTGAGGTCTTAGAACACCTCTGGAGGCAGAAACAGATATAAGTTGAATAAAGTGTTGCTGAGGACCTAACACCATCCAGTCCTGGAACCTCTTCTAGAAAAAGGAACTCCAAGACACATGGTGAAGTCAACTGACTTGGTAAATGGAACAGTTAGAAACGAGTGGTATCTTGATATGTTACACTTCATTTTGTACAATAGTAATTAAATAACTATGTATGCAGTGAGGTATAATTTGACAAGATATCACTTTTCTCAAAAGAATCTGTCTTATCTCATAGTAGATAAAGTAACAGAATTGGGAGGAAAACTGGAACCCACTTGCATATTATATATTCTTTTCCAAAGAAAAATATATATAAAAAAAACATGTAAGCAATAAAATTACTTGAACTAAAAGTTAAAATAGAGATATTGGCAAGGTATAATCGACGGACTATTATAACTACCAAAATTAATATCAATTATAATTTATCAGTATTGCAGTATTGGCAGATCAATCATGCTGCTGTACTCGGAAAATATAGTCAAATCGAACAAAATGTATAACTTTCACTTTTAATTCTGTTTTTCCAACCTTTTTGAAAGAGCAAATCAAGACAAAGTAGTAGTCCTGATTGGTTAGGTTTACATGTAATGTCGAATACGAGTCGGCAATGAAATTATCTTGTTCCTGAAAACAATATTTTGTCTGCAAAAGCAACAGCAATCATATGTTGAGTAAGAGGTTAGCAGCTTGTTTTACAAACGAAGTAATACTCAAATATATTCTGATAAAACCAAAACAATATTGCAAGCTCTTGTATTGATTCTCATTTTAATTGTTTTTAAAAGTTTGGTAAATGTTTTATTTGACTGAAATGGCCAAAACAGGCAGATGACTTCATCACTGTTGTTTACATAGTGCCAGGTATGAAAACTTGCCTGCAGAGATAGGCAAGTGCCCTTGGGTGAAAATTTGTGACTAAAAAGTGTTGCCAGGGATAGCCCAGTTACAGACACCTGATTTGATCGAAAGGATATCAAAATCAATTAAGAAAAAAAAGGACCCAAATATTATTCCTTATAAGCAGTTATTGTAAAGAAAGTTAATGAAGAGAATATTTGCTATGTGGTAAATGTTTAAACGAGATATCATATTAAATGGGATCTACTGTAATATTAATTCTAGAATGCTTGTTAAATGTAGATAGGCATTTCTAATGTTTGGTGAGACTAGACCTCCCACCCACCTGTACAAAAAGAAAATTAAAGATATTGCACTCGATTATTAAAGTCAATCTGACATGTTGGATGTCTAAGTCATAAACAAGATAATGTACACCTTGTGAGATGATTAAGTGTTGCAAGCAAAAAATTGAGTATCATGCCTCAAAATACATGCAAAACTAGATTACCGCATTTAACCAACTGTTTAGAGTTTTTTCCCTTTGTTCATGCCTTCCTTGCTATCTTTCCCACAACATATTCACTTTAATATAAATATTTCCAGTGAGCTCCTCTTCAGATGGCAGTGTTATGAGTATCAAAGGAAAGCTATTAGTTCTCACTGTCTGTAGAGTTTTAACACTTGACATGTGCTTTATATAGTACATTTCATTGCCAAATTTTACATGCAAGGTGCGAGAATATTGAAATGACAGTATGACAAAATGTCATGAACAAAAATGACTTAATTCTTGCCAAATGCTGCACTATACATACATTATGAAGTGTCTAAATCCTTTCAGATGAGTTTCATAAGAAATGTAAGTTTATACCAACAGTTTCCACCTATCTACCACATCCAGAAGAATAAGAACAGAGATACGATGAAATCTTAAACATTTAGTAATACATCATGACAGAAAAATATTAATAATTTGCAACAAAACACTTGACCAGTATTTAAGGAGTGCACACCAAAGCATCGTTTTTTATAGGAAGGGATTAAGCTACATCATGGTGGTAATTACAGTGTATTGCCTTGTACCATGAAAGCATGTCTGCTGATAAATATGGTTTCTATGGAAACATGTCCATCTGGTTATTTCAAGTCCACTGTCATAAGATTGTGGGCGGTTCAAATTACCATTTGATCAAGATGAGTCTGTTCATCAACAATACATAGTTAAGTCTGATATATTCATATATGTCAATTTATTGAAGATAACTAGATTGATTTATACTCAAATGTTGCTCTGACACTTCTTATTTCAGGATAGGGGTTGACCTATGTGAGATCCCCTTGGTCCCCAGTTGTGTATTATTATCTTGAGACAGATCATTGTTATAATATGGCACACATTTTTGATTTTGACAATTATAGCCTGGTATGTTATTAGTAACTACTTGATGGATTATTCTCTTAAAGTGGTGTAATAGGCCATAGTCAAAGGTTGTGCATTCAGTTGACTATATTTGGCTGATCAGAAAAAGCAAATGTCTGACAGATGACCATCTTGAATTTTTATGGCAGTAGATTGTTATCACTGTTTCAAAGCAATAGAGGGATCATTGTCTACACATATAGCTTTTCCCTTTTTGTTCATTGTTTAGAACAAATCTGTGGATAGAAGTGAATGGGAAACAATAAAACCAATAAAAGCCTTTAAGTGTGATATGATGGTGAGGCCCCAATTAAGATTACCCAGGTATCTCTTGTATTTAAGGTTTTGCAGTATATGAGGTCAGTTGTTGAAATGCTTATACACCCCTCATGTTAGTCAACAAGCTAT